ACATTCGTCTTGTAGAGACAACATGAATGTACTTTAAATTAAATGTAATCGCAGTAAAGTGTTAATTTAGATTCCTAGCACTTGGTCGATACCGCTGCTAGTGGAGTGTTAGTTAGTACCCGAGGGTATCATCAGCTCAGTATTCAGTGCTTAGGTCAAATGTAGGTAAAGGAATGGTTTATACGATACGTTTCTTAAATTTTCCGTTGATAAATTTAGAAAGTATTAATTTCACAATGTAGGGTACTCCTCAGACAACGTTGACTTTAAATGACCTTCACTGTTCTTTTTATGTACATGTCGGACGTATTCCAATATTTATACATTCTTGGCTTTCACAGTGTTGGTGCCACGTGGTTGGGTCACAGTTGAGCGTTCGTGGTGAAGGTAAACCCAGAAAAACGCATCGGACACCCCAAATTATTTTCGTTGACTTGAATAATCAATATATCCATTTTAATATATTGACCATAAGCCTTTTGGTGTACTGTATAAAGGTCCATGCATATCATGAAAATGATCGATACTAATGTATTAGTCCTGTTTAATAATGTCCACATGTTTTCCCGGCTTGCATCTCAGAGGATCATAGATGATAGACCACGTTAACGACCACTACAAACCATTAAAAGTCTGAAATGGCCTATATCTGTACTCGACTGTACTGATTTTTACTCGACCAGTCTGAATTGGTCTGAAACTTACTTGATAATACTCGACTGTAGTCTGCACCATACTTAACAGTCTGAACTTGTACTCAACCTTTACTCGACCAGTACTTAACCATTTTATTTTCGTCTGAACCATGCTCGACCTAGTCTGAACCATGCTCGACCTAGTTTGAACCATTCTCGACCTAGTCTGAACCATACTCGACCTAGTCTGAACCATACTTGACCAAGTCTTAACCAACCTAGACCTATTTTTTGTATCTATCTATTGAATTTCATCAATTTAGGAACTGTTTTTAACAACAGCTATTTCCCCTGGCTAGAAATTTGAATAACAATTTGAAATTAAAAATGTATTCAATATACATGATATAGCATTGAAACCAAAATTTCACAATAAACATAATATAACTTCATCACCATATTCATCAACACTTATATACATACACATATAACACCTTTAAAATAAAAATAAAACAAGCTGATCAAATAATCTCAAAACTGAATTGTGACTAATATTTTCAATGTTATTCAAAATTTTTTGAATGTTTCAGATATATTTTATGTTTACTGGACAATTTTCAACATTAACTTAAGCCTCGTATAGATTTATGGTGTCAGTTGAGTTTAGTTAATAATGCAGTGAACATTTTTTTTATTAAAATATATATAAAATAGCATATAAAGCAACTTAATAAATTTTAAAAATGACACCTTTGTTTTGTTAAACCAAGAATTTAATATAATCATGATAATAGAACTTCCATAGTAATCCGGTGATAAACTTTTTAAAAAGGAAATGTGTTCCAAAGTTACAGTAAAAATTTATTTCAATTAAATTTAAATAATTTTTGTCAAAATTAAAGACATGGTATACAAGAAGCACTTTAATAAGGTTTAATTACCTCAGTACATGTGTGTTTTACAGGTAAAAAGAAAGCCCTATTTTTCTTAAACTTGTGTATTACTTATCTAGTGAATTCAAAAGGCCTTGCGATTTAAGTTTCACAGGATGTTGCAATTTTGAATGAATGTTATTTAGAATTTAATACTCTCTGACCAGGTGTGATCTTTTTCATGAGTTTGCCCCAAGCAGGGGGTATTACTTTATACTTCACCACTAATCAGAAGAACAATTTTATTAATTTTTTTAATTTTTATCCCTTTTTGATATATATTGTACAGTTGTATATAATATATCCCAAATTATAATAATAGATATATTTCTAAAATAAGGTTAAACAATTTCAGTGATTTTGTTGGCTGTTGTTACCTCATTAAAAAGATAATTATATAACTATTATACATTTTTTGTATGTAAATATGAAACCTATGTAGTTTTTATTTAGGAATTTTGGAAAATTAAATTAACAAAAAAAACACATGCCAAACAAGAAGCACCTTAATAAGGTTTAATTACCCTCAGTATAGGTGTGGTTTTTAGGTAAAAGAAAATCTTTTTTTAACAAAACTCTAAAACTTTAAAATTAATATAATTAAATTATTATATAAGATAATTTGATTTAACTATCTCTATTCGATAAATCTGAGAATCATGTAAGAATATAAAAATCTGTTTTTAGAATATATCTTTATTTTATTGTGGCTGTTGTCATGTCAGTTAAAAAGAAATTTATTTTAACAGTTAAAATTTAGAAAAAGTAGAGGTTATATGGTCAAGTATGGTCCAGACTGGTCGAGTATTGTTCAGACCTTTGGTCGAGTATGGTTTAGACTGAAAAAAATAGGTCGAGTACAGGTCGAGAATGGGTTAAGACTGTTTCAGACTGGTCTAGTAATAGTTCAGACTATTTTCAATGGCAAAGATAAGGGTCAAGTACAAATCAGTACAGTCGAGTATGGTTAAGACTGGGGTCGAGTAATGTCGAGTAAAATTCATACCAATTCAGACTGGTCGAGTAAAAATCAGTACAGTCGAGTACAGATATAGGCCATTTCAGACTTTTACTGGTTTGTAGTGGACTGCTTACAAATCGTCGATATCTAAATTATGCCATTTAGCAACGTGGGACGCATCATATTAATCATGAAGCTATCCTCATTGTAAAGTGGTCACATTTGGGCAGCAATATTTGCAATTCAAATTCGTTGTTTCAAAGTATTAAATATAAAACACAAAGAGTATCATTGTGAGAGGGGGTGTAATTTGATTAGATATTTTTATTTTAAATCGATGCAAAATTTCACATTGAAATGAACGGCGTGGCTTTTCGAAAACTGTTACTGAAAGCGGGTGATAGGGTTAATGATAAGCTTCCCTTTGTTTCAAAAAGAATATATATCTCTATAAACATACTCGACCGATCAGTCTTCAATTAAAGCCTCACAATTCTAAATATCTATCCTCTATTAAACCCAAAGATCCTCAATAAATGTCTCATAAATAATATTCATTCTGCTATTTGTTATTCGTACTTCAAATACAAGATCTGCAATGTCGTAAAAATCTTTTGAAGTCTATTATTACGACACTGAAACGACCTATTAACGGTTGCAGCGCGCATGAAATATGTTTAGAAGGGTAATTTAGCGTAGTATGTGAGAACACGCGAGATTCCAGCGGGTTGTCGGACCTACGTTGTTCGATCGTATCACAAACCGTCTTCTAAATGAGTTGTTTGAATGTTTTGCACGTAAACAAATTAATTTAACATGTTTAACTTCTGATAGAAACAATTTTTTTCAGATAATCAAAACAACCCTGTGAGTCTTTGAAGCGGTGAACTCACTTTTTTCTTTTGTCGTAGAAATTTTCTCATTTCGTGCTTGAAAACATCAAATGCTATCGCTCTTTCATCTAGAAAACTATGTTTTCTTGGTAAATTTGTGGAAAACCTAATGATTTTTCCACCTGATAGTATACAATAGGAAATCCTCCTTAACCTTGCCAATTAGACAGGTTTTATATAATGAAGAAAACACCCTAACTAACACCTGCTAGATATTAACGTTCAAAACGAAAAAAATCAACGTATTGTTAATTTACAAGTTTCATGAATCTGATATTTTGGGAAGATCCCTTTTGTTAACATTACAGTATTATAGATGAAGAAAACTTCTCACAAGATTGAAAAGTTTAACCTTGAGTCTGATGTACCAGATTCATCAGTAAAGAACCATTCAAGTTATCAAAAACTATCTAGAAACTTGCCGTTTACAGAGGGTTCATAATTCGACAGTTTTTCAAACAATCGTTTTAGTAAAAGAATTTTTAAACTATTGTAATTTGTTCTTTCGATGTTATATTTTAAATTCATTTTTACAGAAGTTTTTCATCGTACCTTCGAGGCTATTAAAATTTATAGCATTCAACGAAAGACAACTCCTGCATATTTCTTTATAGATATATGTTCCCTGTGAATGCCGATCAAATGACAATATGACATATAGATGTTGGGCTTGCCATATGTGTATAGATCTATGGGCTTGCTAAACTTTTTATCAACTAAAAAGAATGGAATGAATTATAATTGATTATGTCATAGGCACATTCTTGATTTCTAAAATTAGTGATATGTAACAAAATTGTGGTCCGATTTATAAAAATAAATATCGGATCCGGACGTTCAGGGGAAGACTATCAACTTGATTTCCTGTGTGTGGTTTGGATGGGATTGGACAAGACCAGCTCATTCTTGTACGCAAATTTTTTTTAATTGTCCCGCAATTTGTTAGGATAAATATCCATGTTCATCCTGTTTTGGTCAAGGTTATATTCATTTCCAGTTTTAACAAGGTCAGAATATCCATTTCCTCACCCCGCATCAAAATATCAAATGGTTATCCCCTTTACGTTTAAGGTATAATGTTTTTATTTCTCGAAATTTTGAATGTGTTGCGCATTATCATGGATCTAAACATAAAGTCAGATAAATTATTTACTGTCCAAGATGAACTTAGAATACAGAACGAATCATTTCCGACCAGAGTTTAGATATATGGTTACAGATAGGCGAAATATTTTTTTGCGGATTGGCTATTCATTTTCATCTGTTGCTATGCATGCTTATTTTTTTTTTAGCTCTGACCAGGGCAGGACATTATTTTTAATAATCCTCCTGCCTCCCCTCCTCCCTCACAAAAATCACCTTACCTGTATATATATAATTACTTATCAATAAATACGTAAGTTTGGGATTATTGACTTGTCGAATGTTGTACGATCGTTTGTTAACTGATTGCAAGCAAAGACGTATGACCACTGACCTCGGTTTTAAGCCGATTTAGTCATATTTTTGGAAATGTTCGTAGCAAAAAATCTAAAAAAATACGTAATTAATGATCGTTTTATAAAAAAAAATACACATAAATGTTTAGAGGTTTATTCTCAAATCCTACCAGGGTTAATATAACATGGTACGGAGAATGTATCTGGACTCACTAAAGTTTTTATGGCTGCCACAGTAGCTGCTATACCAGCGAGAGTACCTACTAGTATAATCTCGTAATTCAGTACTCTCTCCCAAAGGGGAACAACTCTGAAAAAAAAATGTGTTATAAATTATTCGAGTAAGCTATATTTAAGTGTTATTTTTCCTCGGTCTCATTCAATACCATCATATAACTCCATTTATTTGATTACTTTTGATACAACTAATGCAAAAGTAGACGAATGAATAATGAATGAATAATAAACGAACACAAAAATATAATATCATTAATATTTAGGCAGCTCAGCGAGTGATCACAAAGCCTTTGTAAACGAAAGGAGCACATACATCAAAATATGTGCGAAAATTAGTAAAGACAATTTTAATAAAACTGCAGGTGATGCTTTCCAAAAAGTAAAGGTCACAAGTGCGTTAACGTTTTTATTCTTTAAAACGTTCTCGTGTCACCAGAACGCTTAGAGGCTGGATGTTTTAAAGAAAATAATTTGGTACTGCTGAAAAGAAATATTGGTAACGACATTGTTGAGGAAATACACAACACTATTAACCTCGCTTTTCAGACAATTTCGACATGTACTTCAAAACGAGGTTTAATCATGTGGCATGCATGTTCGTGTGTCTGTCCAGAGTAAGGAACCGGTTCATTGTTTTCCAGTCTGGTCAAATCTTAATGTCATTTGTTATTCGAAGAATTTGGTATTGATGACAGATCTTTTTATATATAATTTCTGAATAATTTGTTTGCAGACTTTTCTTTTATTTCGGAGTGATTTACAGTTTAGACACCTGTCTTTTGTTGAAGAATATAATATTATGGACGTCCTTTGGTTATTTTTGTCGCTGGGTTGATGTATCATTGACCTCAACTCATAGTAGTTATCAATGTGATCTTTCTCAACTAATTTAAAGATTTGAACTTACATTTCTAGAGTTTGTTCTCGGTCTTGTTCTTCATATGAATGTGAAGGAGCACCATTGGCGTCTTTTATGTCATGTTTTGTGGTATTCAGATCTTTCATTAATGGAGTCGTTACCGACCTTTCTGTACCTACTAGCTTGGCGTGATCGCTATCGTCTGTTGATTCAACATTCTGATAAGAAATTCCATTTGTCTTGTGTCGAGTTTGAATTTGATTGTTTGATCCTTTTGCTAACTTCAGATAAAACACACACGGAAGGATATATGATAAAAGTGTAGTTGTCGAACCTCCAATCAAAGATAGAATTGCACCAAAGTGAGGTACACTTTCAGCTACAAACAGAACAACCATTACTATGGCTGATCTCGCAATACATCGTTTCCATGTAAAAGCTGCAAGCAAAAAACTAAAAAATGGAAGTAAATTCAATCAATAGTTAAAAATCTATCTAAAATTATAAAATAATTTAAAGTTTATTAATTTGAAGATTTGTATCACGACTTCTGTAAACTAAGGCTGATTCACAATGATTAGCATGCATTGTCTTTGTAAATTGGCATATGACGTAAACCAACTTATATTTGCGGAAACTGTATTTCGATTTGAGCTCTTTCTTGCACTTCGCGGCGATTTATTTTCTCGATTTTCTAATTTTCATGACGTATGTATATAAGGGAAGATCAAAGTTCACCAATTCGCGACGATTTGTATTCGCGTTATTTTCAAATTCGCGTATGTCGCGAAAATAAATCGCTCGCGAAAATAAGTTGGTTTACAGATTTGCAAAGATAAATAAGTGCCTGTGCTATGTTGAACATAACTGTAGTTGAATAATGCATTAGGACCTGCATATTTATTTCTATTTTCAATTTGTTGCTGGCTTGTAGTCATGATGTGTATGCTGCCCATTTTGTCATTTGTATTTATTTTATTTTAGCAAAAAAAGAAACGAGACAGCAAGTCTACAACCCAAAAAACTCTGAACAAGAACATGTTAACTTCGTGTCTATAATTTATAATTTTCCTTCGGAGAACTTTGATTCATCTAGTTAACTGGTAATATTTGATCAGTTATCAGCATTGTAACAGTTTTAGTGTTACCTCCCCTTACCTAGTAGATTATAACCGGCCGCCATTAGCTTTGCTTTGGGAGTGCTCCTTTATCTCAGTTGGTAGAGCGGTGGTTTACTGTGCCAGGGGTCCCAGGTTCGAATACCGGCTAGTACAGATATTAATTATGGAAGGCAAATCATGCTCTCCGGCTACACAATATTTACTACTTATTAATATGATCTATTTGACAATAAAAAACAATTATTAATCTGTACTGATTTTGAGATTTTGAGAGTAGTGCACAAATCCTTAAAATTTAAAACAATATCTATACCGGGTAAATTTTGCAACAATACCAATTAATCGATACTCAACGTTTTCATAACCATAATTGTACAATGATATCATTCGAATTATTACCACCCCCTCCTTAATCGCTCTGTGTCCCATGAGGAGTGATCGTAGTGAGTGAGCTATAACAACCTATTCATTCGGGTTATCTATGATAGAGTTTTTCAGCATGTAATAAAAAATTCTTTTGAAGTCTTTGATGGGTAATTTTGTGACGGAGGGTTCCGTTATTTAAATTTCATTTTCTATGATATTACGAAACTTACCTTTAGGAACTCCAACTTTAGCCTCTAGTTCCTGACAGACAGGGTTGATGAGTATAATGTATCCAAATATCAAATGTAGAGTCATTAAAATATCTATTATGTAGGTTATAGGTCCTGATGTCATGTTCTTTACAATGTTTGGATTCAGGTTTTGTCCATACACGAAGTAACCGGAAGTTGTGGTCGGGAGATACATCAACATGACAACTGTAACGATAAAGACTATTGGTTAACATTTGCTTTTCAAAAGCGGTTGACATATGTTAATCTTCTAATTCTACTTAGTTTGCCGTTTTTTGTATGATCAACGAACGAGTCAGGTTTAGTTTTCAGAAAGATTTTCAAATGTTCTAATTGTTTTTACAAGAACAATGATGTCCGTCATGATTTTTTTTATCGGATGTAATTTATATGTTTTATCTCATTGAGGTTTTGTTGTGTGTGTTTTTTCTTATTGTTTTGTCGTATGGTCTTTGTTTTTGTTGTTGAGTATGTTTTGTCATGAGTGTTATGTGTCTTTTCTACTGACGTTCTCCGTATCTTTTTTCACAAACAACTAGCTTGAAGACTATAAAGTACTCACTAACATATCCTACCAATATTGCCCATTTAAAATCTGTCTTTTTCTTCATGTCCGCTATAAATGTCGGGAAAGCGGGATGACCACTAACCGAAAACACCAAGGTCCCAAAAGCTGCAGAGAACTTCATAAAATCAGTTGACGAATGTGTTACTGGTGGAGCAGATTCCTTATCGTGTAAAACTTGGATCAGAATCAGGATGCATGCTATTCCTGTTGACAATGTCGCACCAACACCGATAGGCCTTCCAAAAAATTAAATATATTTTATAATATGAGGGGATTGGTATGGTTCAGTATTCAGTTTTCTATGTTGTGTTTTATATACTAGCATTTGTCTTTTGAACGTTCTTCGTTTTTTTTGTGCCATGGCATAGTCAGTTTGTTTTCGACTTATGAGTTTGAATATCCCTTTGGTATCTTTCGCCTCTATTTTATAACACTTATTAAAAAAAACAGTTTAAATATATATAATCACCATACTAGTTGAAAAATACAATAACATAGGAGCGTCCTGGATCTGAGGTCGGGAGCATGATATTTATAATTTCACAGCGCAGAGCGAGTGTGGCATTTTGACGTATTTATGCCGATTTTAGGGATTGGCGCGCCACCGCTTCGCCCCCCTTCCCTCCTGTATATACTATCTCATCGACGTTTATAACACATCTCCGCGTACCATCAGAATACAGCGACGAATATCCAACATCTCCACGTACTCAGAATAACATCGAAGTATATCTCATGTCTCCACGTACTCAAAATAACATCGACGTATATCTCACATCTCCCCGTACTTAGAATAACATTGACGTATATCTCACATCTCCATGTACTCAGAATAACATCGACGTGTATCTCACATCTCCACGTACTTAGAATAACATCGACGTGTATCTCACATCTCCCCGTACTTAGAATAACATTGACGTATATCTCACATCTCCACGTACTCAGAATAACATCGACGTATATCTCACATCTCCCCGTACGCAGAATAACATTGACGTATATTTCACATCTCCATGTACTCAGAATAACATCGACGTGTATCTCACATCTCCACGTACTTAGAATAACATCGACGTATATCTCACATCTCCCCGTACGAAGAATAACATTGACGTATATCTCACATCTCCACGTACGCAGAATAACATTGACGTATATCTCACATCTCCCCGTACGCAGAATAACATTGACGTATATCTAACATCGACGTATATCTCACATCTCCCCGTACGCAGAATAACATTGACGTATATCTCACATCTCCCCGTACGCAAAATAACATCGACGTGTATCTCACATTTCCCCGTACGCAGAATAACATTGACGTATATCTCACATCTCCACGTACTCAGAATAACATCGACGTATATCTCACATCTCCCCGTACGATTGACGTATATCTCACATCTCCCCGTACGCAGAATAACATCGACGTATATCTCACATCTCCCCGTACGCATAATAACATCGACGTGTATCTCACATTTCCCCGTACGCAGAATAACATTGACGTATATCTCACATCTCCACGTACTCAGAATAACACCGACGTATATCCCACATCTCCGCGAATGCAGAATAAACGTATAATAAAAAACAAAACAAATAATAAAATTTTGATATATAATTAAATTTCAACTTTGATTCGATGTAAGACCCATTTTTTTAGCAGTGTGAATTTAAAAGATATGTTTAAAATATATAAAATGTAAAGAACTAAAAATGTCGTAAAAGAATAAAAAAAAAATAATACAGGCGAACCCAAAAAGGGGAAAATGGGGGAACAACGTTCAGCCAAACAACAAAGGATCTGAGCGCTGACAGATGATCAAATAATTTGGATTGGCAAATTGAGAAAGCGTAAATGCACCGGTCTAAACACGCCTGGACCAATCGGAACTTCGAAACTAGTGACGCGATCCAATGATGAAACATCTTTTTGGAATAAGATGGAATCAGAACTAGACAAACTATGCAGTCGTTTTGGTACTCCCCTGGTTTTTACTTACCAAAAGTCTTTCGGAGTGCCAAGACATGTGATTGGAGTTAGTATACCACCAAGTATCAACAACCAATAGCAGAACGAGATATCTTTAGTAACATCGGACATGAGATCTTCGATATTCTCGGATGCCAATATCAAATAAACAGTAGATGCACCAAACAGGGTGAAGTTAATGGAAAATGTCACCAAATGTCTGAAATCAAAATTATGTTGGACACATTTAAGACAGACGATTTAATCTCTATTTTGAATAATAAAATATATATACACTTAAAGTTTTCTAGTCCCCCCCCCCCCCCCCCCCCCTGCTATATGTGGATGTTGGCAGACGTTATTTGTTTGTAGGAAAATAAGTAATAGGCGAAACAATATTTTAGTAGATTACAGTGTTATGATGTGAAAATTAGGCCGAATTACTCATAACCTAAATGAAGGTCAAACCGTTCGTGAACCGGCGACCTAGTTTACACATAGATAACCTTTTAACAAAATGTGCTTAATCCTTATAAATATACCATATTGAAATCGACGTTGTGTTAACATTGGTTACTTTGGTAGTTTCGGCAACCTGGTCTATTGAAATGTGAACCAGGAAAAACAATTTTAACTGACCAATCGTATTCAATTATTTGTACATGTTGATATGCAAATATATAACTTTAAAAGTATTATAAATAACAGCTCACCGTCCATTTTTTCCATAAGCTTTTTCTCCGATTACAGGATAAGGGTCAGGAACGTGATCACGGTATTCTGGGAACCTGTCTTGAATTATCACCCAGGATTTAGCAATAATTGTTCCCGTGTATGATGATGTTAAAGTAAATACTACAAGGAGTGGGATACCAATCCAACCTAAAACCAAAGAATTCATCTAAATTTGAATAAAATGAAATGTTTAGTATTCGTCAATTAGAGATATCAACCTTATGACACAAAATAACAATAACATATACAGGTCAATGGTAAATAGGCGTCATACCATGTAATATAAAAGTCAACGTACTAGAATACGTATGTGTTTTTTATGGTTTGGTTGTTGTCTCATTGTCGCACACCAAAAACAATATTTTATCTACACCTATACATTTACTTAAACGCCAACACTCCTGTCTTCATGCATCAGTTCATAACAGTGCATAATATACACACACATATTAGCAATGTAGTTAAAGGTAGATTCATTGTACACCGCCATCTCGGATTGTATAATAGCAGTACACAATCGGTCTAGTTCTAAATTTGCAAATTTTGAGACTGATATGCAATTAATGTGTAAGACTGTTTATTTGTATAAAGAAAATGCAATATTCAAAATGATTAAACAAATACCAAATATTTCTGCTTTTTAGAATCATTTTTTCAACTTCGCCATTTAAGGGGAGATGAAAGAACCTTAGTGAGCGCGCTCACATACCCCACGTCCCCACATTGTCATTGGAGAAATAAAATAAGTGTAAGAAAAAAAATTGTATCAGAAAAAAAAATTGAATCATAATTTCCTGTCAATATGCACATCTACATAGTATGTCCTTATTATCTACACAGTTTCATGAAATTCTGTAGTGTGGTTTGAGAGGAGTTGCGATGACAAAAGGTTGCAGTAGTATATTTGGCAAATAAGTTCAAAGGGGCGTAACTCCTGGAAAAAAAAATTGAATCATAATTTCCTGTCGATATGCACATCTACGTAGTATGTCCTTATTATCTGAAAAGGTTTCATGAAATTCTGTTGTGTTGTTTGAGAGGAGTTGCGATGACAAAAGGTTGCAGTAGTATATTGGGCAAATAAGTTCAAAGGGGCGTAACTCCTGGAAAAAAAATTGAATCATAAATTCCTGTCGATATGCACATCTACGTAGTATGTCCTTATTATCTGAAAAGGTTTCATGAAATTCTGTTGTGTGGTTTGAGAGGAGTTGCGATGACAAAAGGTTGCAGTAGTATATTGGGCAAATAAGTTCAAAGGGGCGTAACTCCTGGGAAAAAAATGAATCGTAATTTCCTGTCGATATGCACATCTGCGTAGTATGTCCTTATTATCTGAAAAGGTTTCATGAAATTCTGTTGTGTGGTTTGAGAGGAGTTGCGATGACAAACTGTTGCAGTAGTACATTAAAGTAAATAAGTTCAAAGGGGCGTAACTCCTAGAAAAAGAATTGAATCGTAATTTCCTGTCGATATGCACAACTACATAGTATGTCCTTATATAAAAAGGTTTCGTGAAATTCTGTTGTGTGGTTTGAGAGGAGTTGCGTTGACAAGAAACAGGACTGACGGAGTGACGGACTGACGGACTGACGGACGGACAGACGGACAGACGGACGGACGGGTCAAAAACACTATACCCTCCGCAACTCGTTGCGTGCGGTATAATAACTCTTATAGTAAAAAAAATATACTGGAATGACAGTGAAATTTTCATTTTTTACATTTTATTTAGGAAGAAAACAACTTCGGTGACACCATTTTTTCTTTTTTATTTTCTCAAAGCATATTATTATAAAACCTATCTTCTAATATTTTCTTTCAAAATTCTATCGCATAGATTTCTTTTTATTTACAAAAATGTGTTTTTTCATGATCAATCTATGCAAATTTGGGCAATTTTGCACGACTTGTAGCTTGCAAAAAGCACGGTGACCCATACTTTTTATTATATTTTTGAAAAAGCAAAATAAGAAATTCTATCTGAGGGATGCACCTTAAATAGCGAAACGAACGGAAGAACTAAAAATCTTGGGACAAGCTGATACTTGTGTCAGTCTCAATCCTACTATCATAAATAAACGTTTTGTTTAGTAACATAAGACCTTCCAGTATTGTATTGAATATTTTTAAACCGGGCTTTAATTTAGTCTTGAACAACAGAGAGGTGTCTCTACAATTTATCAAGTTCTAAATCATCCCGAATTTAAAAAAAAAAGAAAAGAGAAAAATATACAAACTACAAGCTCTGCCATAAAAAAAACAAACGTAACAAAAACAAAAACACTTAGATAAGACATATGACAACCACTAAAATGTCTCTGGCTTGGAACAGAACATTTCACATACATATTTAGTTATTTCTTGTAGATATCAACCCCATCCCCTTCATTTTCATCTCGATCAGCGCTAGAATGAAGGGTTTCTTTATGTCGGAATATCATTGGACCGTTTTCTCATTAGAATATATAAGAGTCTATAAAACCAAAGAGCCTGCAAATTCAAGAGGTATCGGATGGTCTATATATAGAATTGACGATATAACACAAACAGTAAAACTATAAATTCGTTACACAAATCATTTAAGGTAGATGGGGTCTAAATTAAACTCCATAGATTTTGTTAATAATTTGTCAAAATGTAGTTAATATCATGCTTTTTTCAACATATAATAAAAAGTATGGGTCCGATTTTGTATAAATTATGCACTTATGGAAAACCGAATTTTGTGTGATAAAAAGAAAACTACACCATAGAATTTTAAGATAAAATATGAGAAGATAGCTCTAATAATATGCTGTCAGATAATAAAAAGAAAGAATGGGGTCACCGTACTAGTTTTCTTGCTACATAATAAAATAGGTAAATTCACAACACATTCTATTATAAAAGTTACTTTATCTATCTGAGTTATCTCCCCTTATGTGGCAAAGTTTAAAAAAAATTACCAAGCAAAATATTTTGTTTTTTGTAAAATACAGCCATATATATGATAAAACACATAATTTTCTATATTAATATACAAAGTCTTACACATGAATTACACACTACTCTCGAAATTTGTACATTTCATTAAAGATCTAGACCGATTGTTATCTGCTATTTCAAAATCTAAGATGGAGGAAGACACCCTAGCCACCTTACGCTAACTTTTATTTATATATACTCTGATAAGATACCTCATATCCGTAACATACCTGTATCTTCTACAGCTTTAGGAAGAGCCAGGACCCCACCACCTGCTATTTCTCCTATTATAAAAACAGCTGTTGTCCAAATAGTAAGTCCATGATGACTGGTCTGAAATTTGAAAAAAAAAATAGAACTATAAATAAATATTCATAATATGATTAAAAGGATATGTAGGGTATACGTCAACGCAACGTCATAAATAGTCAAAAGACAACATACAAATTGAATATTCAACAAACGACCGGTGTATAAAGAATAAGTCAAGTCCTAAATCGTCTAGAATCTTTAAAATGTTGTGAATAAAAACAGAACAATAAAGAAATCTGGCATCAACAAACAAATCTCTAAAAAAACGAAAAATATGAAGAGAAAATTAATATTTTATTCGGTTTTTAAATCCAAAATTACATGATTGTTACCAAATATATGATATTCTACATAGTACATACGACAATTCACAAACTGGGCAAAATCCAACAAACAAATGTAGCTTTCTACATAGTAGTGATACAACTACGTTATTCACAAAGTAACGAGAACAAATCTTGTATCAAGTGCAAATGTTTTTAAAGCATACAAATAAAAGGAACTCATCCTTTAATTCTATCATTGAATAAATATGATTTTGAAAGGGTTGAAAAAGTAGTTATTTCTTTTTTTTTGTAATTTCATGGAACTTTGAGCTTGTTTTCAGTAAATGCGAGCATTCTTTGACATTTTTTTTGTTCGTACTTGGGTGTTTTTGGTTACCTGTTATTAAAATATCTCACTGCTTTCCTTTTTTATATATATTTTTGCATTGGACTTTTTTTCGTTAATATCCGTTTAAATTTACGCACAACTTTTTAAGACCTTATTATAAGAAGATATATATATATATATATAATAGCTTAACATATTTTACAGACACCGTCTATTAATGAAGACCGTATGTTGCCCTTCAGATGCATTATTTGTGTTGTCGGGTTGCTGTCTCTTTGACGCTAACATCACAATTCCCTTTTAATTCTATTTCTTTTAACAAAATTTCTGCTTGTAAAGTTGACAGCATTTGTATATTGAAATCATAATCTTCCTTGAACGTAAAATTCAACAAAATCTTTGGAAAATCTATTAGATAAATGGTTACCTAACAATAACTGTGTGTCTCTCACTAAAGAACAATACTAAGCAATACTAAACCCTTCTATCAATGACCATGATAAAGTAATTTGCTTCTTTTTAAAACAGTCATTAGAAATGAGGGCAGAAATCTCATTATTTGCCATGTGCTCATTATATATAATCAAGTGAATTGTTACTTCTTGGTCATATTTTGTGTTCATTCTTTATCATAAATAACTAGCACTGTAACATTGTATATATTCATATGACAATAGAGTATTATTTTTATAACTACTCTTCTGTTGCGCTCGTTATTGAAAAGAACCAGTTCACTAATATAATTATAATTCTAGAGTCAATATCGGGAAACAGGGATATACATGGTATAGACCAAATACCGAAATATCGTTAGTTAACACTCTGCCAAATGATAAAGAGTAACGTTTTTTCTTGTTCTCCGTGTGGACTTTAAATAAATGATTAAAAATTAAACGTTTAATTTCATGCATGCATCCGAGATTATACAAATATTTCGTTTCAACTAAATCAAAAATAAATTCTTACCTGTTCATTACTCATTTTTCAAAAGATTACCTCAAAAGATAATGGGCACATGACTATTTTCATTTTCACATAAGAGTGCATGTGTACTAACAACAAAACATTTCAGAAACCTTCGACTTTGGACAATGTTAAATTTATATTTTCCTTATTCAGGTTGTACAACAATATTAAAATGTATCTATGATTATTTAGGAGGACGGAAAACGTAAATCATTGTTTATAATATAACAACATGTGATTAGAAATAAAAGCGTAACTAGGAATATTCAATTACAATTTTGCATTTATCATGTAATGGAATATTGCAACAACAAAAGAAGGAAAAGAAAAAGAAGTTGATATAATTTAATATAAGATCAACGCGATATAGAACATCAGGTGCGAATAAATATAAGTTATAGGTGACATCTATCTATCAACATTTATATAATAAGTTAATCTATGAGATATGAATCGAGTCAAAATGCTGATCATAATGACATTTATAAATCTATTTGATAGATAAAAATGTAGTAATGATTTTAATTTTTTTTCGTAGTACACGTGCTAGCCACGATCTGTCCCAGAAGCATGGGTTCAAATCCCAATAGAAAAAAATGTAGCCGCTGATTTTTGGGCTTAATTTCAGACAGTGTATACTATAGACATACATAATTTGTGATGATAGCACTCGAAACAAATTTAAAAGGAACCCTAGGACGTCACACTTGGAAAGTGATTGTGTGTGTGTTTGTGGGGATGGGAGTGTCGGAAAGTCAAACATTCTTTATCTAATCATATTGAAATAAGGAAATGTGTTATGACTGCCAATGGGACAACTATATGCATTCAAACGTTACCAAAGGACAAGATTGTAAACATCTATAGGTCATGGTTAAGCTTTCAATGATGAACAAAAACCCATATCGTATAGTAAGCTATAAGCTGGTCCAGCTCTACAAAATGTAAAACTATTCAAAGAGAATTTTATGACAATTTGTACGTGGTTTTGAAAACATCTTCGGAGAAAGGGGCTTCAAACAACCAAAATCTTGATAGATCCGCAAATGTTTATGTTGTAACAGTTGAATTTCCCGAATGGAAATGCATGTTTACGCATTGGTTGACAATTCTTCGTCACATGACATAAGCATTGCCTATTTACATAACCATTAAATAGCTTATAAATAAAATTTGCTTTCAGAAAAACATTAATCTGAAAAACTTACTTTTCCCGCTGAAAAAAAAAATATGTAGTATAATAGAAGTGTTACCTATAAGCATTTGATACGTATTCTTGGACACAGAAAATTTATTGTTCGTTAGATATTGTTTTAAATTCTGGAAACCCGTTCTAAATATTTCATAGGCTGCTAATGTATCAATTGCGGTCATTCTGCTATGGCTGCTATATTTACCGATTGTTAGCTGAAATAAACCTATAGTGAGGTTTGGCCTTCCAACTGTTTCAATTCACGCTCCAATGATGAGTCTTCTGTCGGCGAAACGCGTATCTAACGTACAAAAGAGTTTGGTATCTTCGATTACTAAGTATTTCTTTTTATAAAATTTAAATTTTACATGTTTTTATACATTTTCCATTGAAGAATGTCTTTAACCAAAATGAATTAATTAGTATTTGAAAGACAAAGGACAATGTATAGATTCACTTTCAAAATAATTTCGGTTTTGATTAAGACTGACCGTCTTGGATAAACACATTTTGCGAAAATCTGTAAAAATTTCGGTTTTGAGCTATCTTCAGGAGCTTATACTATTTGCACGTCTGCTAAGGTACTATATTCCATTATTAGAACGAACAGAGCTGTCATATTGTCAATTTAAATAAAGATTGAAAGACTTTTTGAAAATGGCCCTGGTTTAGAATATACATTAAGGGACGGTTGAACATACAGTACTTGTTTACAAAGTAAAAATACAAACAATAAGGCGTTTTCATCTTTTTTTTTTACAAACTCGACTAGTTTTTCGAAAGTAAAAAATTCCTTCATCAATTCGCTCTTTCACAACGTGTATATATATCTGTTCATGAAATCTACGGACGGGATGTCTTCGAAAAGGTAATATATGAATTAAGCTTGCAAAAATCGGTCGAAAATTCCCAGCGTTGGCTCATCATACATGAATTAAGATACTGAAAAAAAGAGGGCGTTAAATTGTCTGACTTGCGTATACATGACTTTGAAATTGCAGGACTACGCTAAATTTATACGGCGACGTCACAGCATTTCATTGTCATAACGTCAAAAAAAAAAAAACAAAGCCCAAAGTGTGTCCATTGTATATCATGTGATATTTGCACTTCCGATCATGGAGTAATATAAGCGGAATAAACATGGGTTCCTAGGAGAGATATATTCAAAATGATGGAATTTGCCGTCATCTCATTTTAGATTCACTATTACAGGACTCGGTTAGTAGCAAAAATGGTAAGTAAGATGTGTCTTTCTTTCAAAATGGTTATACAGCGCGGAAAAGTAAAAAACAATGGCAAAACAGTATTTAGTATCGTATCTACTATCTTTGTTATAAGTCATGCAATTCAAAGCCTTAAGGATTATAAACATTTATTTAGATTTTCTTTATGAGACTAACCATAATTAACCGTTCTATAACTATCTGCAGACAGATTGTGAACAAAATCAAATGAAACAACAAAATATCTAACACCTTCCGAATTTGAAAAAAAAATAAGGAGATGTGGTATGATTGGCCAAAGTTCAAATGAAGTGGATGAAAGCAATTATAGGCAATCGTGTAGCCTTCAACAATGAGAAAAACCCATACCGTATAGTCGGCTATAAAAGTCCCCAACATGAAAAATGTGGAGCAATTCAATAGAGAAAACTAACGGCATAACTTATAACAAAACAATTTCCGAAAAACAAATATGACAGATATGAACGAACGACTACCACTGAACTACAGGCTACTGACTTGGGACAGGCACATAAAAAATGTGGCAAAGTTAAACATGTTATTGAAATTATCAAATGTAACGTTACATTTTTGGTTGGCAATCAAACATATATAGCAGTTTCCTCGCGGAATTATGAATTAAACATTGATATGAAAATCATCACAAAAAGTCATACTTAAAATTCAAAGGCACAAAGGAAAACTATTTCGAATTCATTATAGAAATTACACTCTAATGACAACATAGACCATTTTAACTTAACTTCTGTATATATTCTCTTCTGTATGCTTGTGTGTGTTGTTTTTCTCAAATTTCCTTTACTACATTGCAGGTAAACTTAATATTCTACGAGAAATCTTTTTGCATAATGCACGACCGGATATTCGGCGGAAAGGGGGGGGGGTTAAAAAAAAATAACATGCCCAAAATTGCACCTGGCAGAATTATATGATCTTTCCAAAGGAAGATTAAACATAAATATCCTGATGCAAAAAAAATTGGAAATAGCTCCAACTATTTTAGAATGTTAATTCAGAAGCACATGTCGTCTGCCCCCCAAATTGGGATAAATATATCTTCGTTTGTTGTTTAATTTCTATTTCTTTGCTTGTATTTTTGCGAACCCTCCAACACATATTCTGCTAGAGGTAATCTTCACTTTTGTGTGCCAAACTTAAAAGAGGACTAGGATTGATGATTATTGAACGGCTTCTCCCGAAATGCAATATTATTGTTAACGTTCTACACGGGATTTTACATTGCTTTACAAATCACAAAAAAATACAAATAAACAAGTTATTGTTTAATACAATTATCTTTATGTTCTAAAGACTTGCTCAAAAGGGTTGACAGTATGGACATCTTCCATGTTTATCGTTGGAGCAATAGCCGGTATTGGAGTACTTTCCCTTCCCAAAGCTGTAGAAGATACGGGTATGTTCCTAGCTAGGCCTCTATGTGTAAACGTTAAGATAACTTTTCTTCTAGGTTTGTAAACTTTATACAATATTTTAGGAAAATATAATGTTTGATTAAAATGAATAATTTACACTCTTGCTCATGAACAACCGATGGACAACCGTCTTGGTTATCTCGTGATAGTAATTATCCTCGCTCTAAATGCGGGTTACCGTGGGTTCAATCTGGATCAGCTGGATCAAACCATTGACTTGCAAATTGGTATTTGATATTTCTTCGCAATGCACTCTGTATTTAGGAATAACTTCAATAAGAGCAAAGAATGTCCGATTTGGTTTCAAAATAATGTGTATGGGTAGGGTGACATGTCTTCCTGAGAACTGATTTCTTGTGAACTAGTACGTCTTACTCATCGTGTCGGTGTAGTAAAACAAGGATCACGATTCATTTCTTGTCCTGATATATGCATGCATGTGATCCTTTCCAAAAACCGATCTATCACCACCATCAACTGATGGATTTGAAAGAAGTTTCAGTCTAAGGTTTCTTATCTAAATATATTACCTGATCATATACATTCGCAAGGTTTTTACACTGGGTTTGAATTATCTAACTAAAGTTCCCAAGTCACGAAGCTCTGGCCTATGTCAGTCTTGTATGTTTTTTAATTTTTGATGATTTATAATATGTTTCGGAGTTTAGTGTGACGTCCATTTTCGCTGAACTAGTATACATTATTGCTTAGGGGCCAGCTGAAGTCCGCCTCCAGGTGCAGGGTTTTCTCGCTGTGTCGAATACCCATTGGTGGCCTTTGGCTGTTTTCTGCTCTTTGGTCGGGTTGTTGTCTCTTTGACACATTCCCCCTTTCCATTGTCAATTTTATTCAACATTTTCTGATATGAGAATATGATTCATTTCAGTAAATTTCGTATCTTAATTAAATAAAATTTTCAAAGGAAAATAATTTATTATTATTATTATTATTATTTTTATTGTTATTGATACACATTTATAATTCGTATATTTCTTATCCGCGACATTCATTTTCAACGTTTATAAAAAAGTATTTAATAACGTGTCATTTTTTTTTCATTTACTCTTTTGGTTGTAGGATGGATAGGCCTCTTTTTCATTTTTATATTCATAGTGAAGTCTGCATACACAGCAACACTGATAGGGAAATGTTGGGTGATCATCGAGGATAGATATCCCGAGTATAGATCACACGTTCCTGACCCCTACCCAATTATTGGAGAGAAAGCGTTTGGCCATTTTGGCAGGTATGTAAGGACATTATATATATAGAGAGAGAGAATAAATATAATTGTTTCGAATAATAAAATTTATTTGTGCAAGGCTTAGAAACGGGTACACGAAGAATGCGAGGCTTTGCCAAGTATTTCTATCCTGTTTCGAGCCGAGTATAAATAAGAATTATATTTCGAGACAATGTATAGTTAACCTCTTTATACTGCAACTCTTACAACTGTTAAAAATGAAATCTTTGAAAAACAACCCGATCAATTTGGAATTTGAAGCAGACGACGTAAAAATTTCCGCAAATCTGTATTCTGCATTGACGTCATAAAGATCAAGTCAATTTGACTTGTCAAATAGCTTGGTTGCTGCTTAAATCAAAGAATTTATTAATTCCAGTTAGTGCAGTTGCAGTACCACGATCACATATATTTCGTTTGCAATTTAAATACTGGTGTTAAATCACCGTAATGTTGCTAATAGAAAATCGACATGTGTAGCTAAATAAAGCCCATTTTAAACAAATATAATTACAAAATGGCAAAAATTAATCATCGAATAGGAATTAAATTTTATGCCAATTGACGATGAACCACCAAAACCTAAGCGATCAACGTAAAGCTTCGTAAGATATTATAAGTTATCTACGTTCATATCCGTAGATATGGATATTTTAACACCCTGAAGTATCCAAGTACACCCTGAGGCGAAGCCGAAGGGTGTACAGGGTACTGAAGGGTGTTAAAATATCTACTGATATGAACGTAGATAACGAATTTATCCCCGGTCTTAGTCCAAATCTGTCGATTTTTAGAGAAATTCGACCACAAAGTGTAACGTGGAAGCAACGTTTTTTTCATTTTCTAAAAATCTTTTATTGAAATTTAGGAATTTGACATATCGTTTACGGGGTGTAGGGTTCTACCAAAGAGGGTACTACCTTTGGCAGAACCCTACAGGTAGTCAAATATAAGACGTTTTTAATACGGAGACAGAGAAACTGGAGTGGGTCGAATTTGGCGCTCAATGTTGTGAGAGTTACATCATAGACGGTGTGACGTCAACGTGGGTTATTTGCATAGCTAGGTCATAGTCCAGCCCTGGCCTCAGTGACTTATTTTCAATTTTTATTTTTTTTTGTTGTCACTGAGTCCAGCTCGCCCTCCATTACCTTCAATTGTGCAAGCTCCCGGGTAGATTACCCGGGGACTATATAGACAATACCAGAGCGCTCAAGTACGAAAAATGTATAACAGATGATAAAACTTGATAAAATAAACAAGTTACATACCTGAAATGCTTATACACTATATGGAAACTCATTTTAACAGGAGGAAATCCCTTGCAGTCGGAGCTGTGGAGATCTTGTTTACATCAGTAACGCTATATTACGAAACGTGACGTTTCTACGCTATAACGTAGACGAAACGAAATCAATGTATCAAAACTCGTTACGGTAACACGACACCGAATGGCATATCTCCCGATATTTAATTTTTTTTTGGCTTACTTGTATTTTGAATCGAGTTACATTAGCATATGTCATTGTATGCAATAAAAACTTAGGTCACCATTTTTGTTCTTGTAATTTTCATAAAAAAACGTCAGTCAATGTTAACGTTGATGACAAATTTTTTGAAGGGGAAATATATAACAAATGGGGCTTGGCATTTTTTGGGGATATTTGAATTAACGAAAACTTGCATAGTTGATTTATGTAAAAAATTGACAAAGTAAACTCGTGTTTTTCATCGAAGGAAATTCAATGTTCACACAAGTGTTTTTGAACCAGGAATGATTACGCTAGGTGCTTTTGTACCAGACATGATTACACTGATTTTGAACCAGGAATGATTACATTGATTTTGAACCAGGAATGATTACACTAGTGATTTTGTACGAGGATTAATTGCACTAGTTATTTTGAACCGGGATTCATTACACGAGTGTTTCAGATCCATACATTGATGAAGTGTTTGGGTACTCATTTTGATTTGAACACATGATACCACAATAACGTTTTATTTACAAATTAGATTTAAATGATTTTTGTATGCAAATCTATAAAATCTTATGATTTGAATTGTCACTAATTGTAATAATCATATACTGCATTGCCGAAGTTTTACAGTGCATTTGCGTTTTGATCGACTTAAAATCATGTCTTCTATGTCAATATCTATATATCATAAAACGCCGGATAGATTGATTCAGATCAATTACACTGGTTCCTTGAAAATTATTCTAATTCCAACCCATAAATGTATGTAAACAATAAACCGGTCAATATAAACAGAACAACGATATCAAGATCTACGCTTTCAAGCTATTTACATCCAATATTCTCTAGTGAAAAAACAGGTATCCGGAATAAATCCACGGTGGAATGAAATCACGCTTACATATGCACCCTCTATATACTGCAGTCCTAAGAAATTAGCCGTAAAAACCTATTTATACCCAGTACGGATTGGACTGTCGAACGGGCACGGTTAAAACAATATATATATATATATATATGTTATGGTGCTATTTCATAAGGAATGTGGTGACAATACAAATATCATTGAATATGCAGTTCATAGCTACATGTATAGTGAAATGGTAATTTGGAGATCTAAAATGAAGCAAACAAACATGTACGTCATTTGGTCTTTGGTGGAAAGTTGTTTCATTGACCATTTTACCACATCTCCTTATTTTATTATGGTTTGAGTTTTCTCCAGAAACAAAAGAAGTTTAACGACTTAAACAAATATGTACTAGGAAACTGAAATATGTTACTACGATAATTAAAATATGGCTATTGTTGTGAACGTGATAGATTTAGTTCTTGCTATACTAAATATACTTATATATCTTTCCAAGCCAGGGGACCAACGTTTACTAAAACTACAAATTAGAAGTACAAAGATACTAGTCCATAATGCATTAGTCACGATTTTCTAGATATATGTGGTTTTGATATCATTAGTTGCATAGCTGTTGCTATCTTATTTTATATCCATATCTCCATTTATTCACACAAAGAAACACCAACACTATTTTTTACATACATAAAATTGAGAGTGGATATTGGGAATAGGTCAAAGAGACAACAACCCGACCAAAGAGCAGACAACAGCCGTACATACATACTTGTTTATTTGCTCTAAAAACTCCTTATAAGACTATGAAAACCCTCGGGCTTTTCCCCGACGCCTATGTGAGCAATATGCCCTCCCCCCAAAAGGCAACTCTGTTAATCGTCTTTCAGTCGTTTTGTCTCCCCCTTGAACTTGTTCATTATGTCCAACTAAAAAAAAAACACAAAAAAAAGACCACACCATCCCCGAATTCCCAGGCGTGAATTAACATGAATATAAAACCTAAATGATTTTAAGATCTAATTGTTTTCAGTCTGTTTCTGCCGTTTGACTTACAATTAATGAATCATTTGCTTGTAGAATTCGAGAAAATAATTTGTAACGGGACCAGTCTGACTAATGCCAGCCTCCACCTACCCTCTTGCGTTTTTTTTTAGACTCAAGTGAATACGGGGGAGGGGGTCTGGCTTTAATCAGGGTGTAACGGGACATGAATTATGTAATTTTATTTCTTCCTTACCAAATGCACATGTATTTCTGAGCCTTTGTTAACTTTCTCCTCATTCCGATGTTGCTGTCCCGTGGAGACCCCGTTTATACGATTACAAAGCTAGAACTTTATTTTCAAAATTTTTCCGAAACTATATCAGATTTCTTCTGTACAGACCAATGAATTTCAGAGACTGATTACACTTGGAACACAGGGAAAGTTATTTGGCCAAATAATAAGTTCAACCATTGTTATTTCTCATTCGATGCTAAAAAAACCTCTTTTCTGTATGATCCGATGATGAGTTTCAACGTGTGCTTGTATTGTGCTTTTTTGCCTAATTCCATCCGTATTCTTTCAGTCCAGTAAATTTCGTTTTTTTTTCGAATAATACAAAAGAGTGTCAACCATGCACTTGCAATGCACTATTACTAGAATAGAAGAAATAGAATGATATACAAATGGATGGAAATTAAAAAACCATTCACACCGGTAAAGGAATGGTTTCATGGTTGGCCATATCTTCTAGGACTAAAAAAACTATAATCTGATATAATCACATGACTATTGTCCATATCTTCGTAAATTTTCAGTAAATGACTGGACAATAACAAATCTCTTCATCAATAAATCATTACACTTTTATTCTTTAACAATTTTTCAACCCGAATTTCAACGGAGATGATCCTGCCATGATATGATTTTGGAAACTGGACTTAGTCCGTAAGTCTAGTTTCAAATTATTCACAATTCAAAAAACTTTATTTTGGCCCAAAGGTTAATAGCAGGTATGTGTATCGTTAATTTGAAAGTTAAAAAAAATGTATTAGATTGCATTAAATTCCAATGTTAAATTGAATACACTTATTAAGATATAAAAGACTTTAAGTGAAAAAACAGTTTCAGACTTATCATTCGCTGCTTCAGTAAAAAAAGACTTAACGAGGCCGGAATTTCAGTTGTATATTAACGAGACTTTAAAACAATGAGAGAAAATGGAAATCGTCAGTATTAAAGTTGTTCTCCATTTTGTCACCAGTAACAATAAATTCACATTCAAAAAGCTTTTGAACGAGCGGTTAATATATAAGTTATCGCAAGGAAATCGACAGAGCCGCCTATCAGCCGTACGGCAACCCCAAATAAAAATTCGGGGTTATTCGTTGAAATTCGGGTTGAAAAATGGTTCAAAAAATAAAGTGTGATGATAAATTGATGAAGAGATTTTTTAATATTGTCCCGTCATTTATTGAAAGGAACCATGATATGTGAAAACGTTTAAACTGATTCGGTTTCTGTCGCTTGGAAGAAAAAAAAACACAATCAGTAAACTTCTTCTGAACAACAGAAGGTATACACATACATAATTTAAAGTGTCATAATTTACCAGCAGCATTCAGTGCCCTAAGTCCACGTTTAAAAAGTTTGAGGTGCAACATCGTTGATTTAACGAGTTTAAACGTTGAATATCTTTATCGATACATTGAATTCGTTTCGTCTGCGTTATAGCGTAGAAACGTCACGTTCCGTAATATAGCGTTACTGATGTAAACAAGATCTCCACAGCTCCGACTGCAAGGGATTTCCTCCTGTTAAAATGAGTTTCCATATAGTGTATAAGCATTTCAGGTATGTAACTTGTTTATTTTATCAAGTTTTACCATTTGTTATACATTTTTCGTACTTGAGCGCTCTGGTATTGTCTATCAGAGCTCCAGATAAGCTGCGTATTTGCGTGATCACGCAATAAAAATAATTAAAAACCCAATGCAATTGCCCATTGCAGGGTTCAATAACCCAATTAATTCGGCTTCTTTTTGATAGCTGAGGGAAAGTTATGATGATAACAAGACTCAGCTAGTGATTTTAGGAAGCGGCCATTGAACGCACGGGCGTGTTTGCGTACCATAACGAGAGCATTGCTAGAGCGATAAACACGGGGTTCCGTCAAAAACGAAATCAGTTGGAAAAAGTGAAAGGCCAAATCAATTATCACATGATATGTAGTTGAAAGCATCGGAAACCAAAAGTTCTGATAAGGGACAACTTAACCCAGACTTATGTAAATTGAATTAAACGAAAACAGTTTATATATTATTTTTTTCATTTTAGTTGATGAGTGAATAAACATATATCCGTTTTTTACGTCAATGCAGCTTGACAATTTTTTTTTGTTTTGTTCTAGATGCTTAAGATAGTTGTCTTATTGGCAAGTGCAGTATAACATTGTCATTTATTTACTTGATGTTGCAGAATTATTTGTAAATTTAAGCTGAATGTGGTCTCCGTCATTATAAACCACCCTATAAACCTCAAGGTTTTGGGGTATATCTTAAATCTGGAAACTACTTTTTATTTTTATTAAAAAGTAGATCTGGCAAATAGGTGAAAGGACTGGCAAAACTTTCTTACAGCACCTAAATTTCACATATATTACACAAAAATCTAACACTTAGCCACACCCACCCCAACTATAATTAAACTGTAGTGTGATCATATGGGATCTAGAAAGGCAATTAGTTCCTGTCCAACTAGTAACACCAGCTGCAGTTTACATAAGTTTTGAGAAAATACAAAACTGACAGAACGTTTAAAACGGGACACAAATTAAATGTACAATTGCTCGTCAGTGAATAAAACCAAATAAAACAGCTAGCACATATTTTACAAAGAAAGAAACACATTTAAGATGGAAACACATCTGGGGTTGATATAATGTGATTATAACATGCCTAAATATTCAATATTGTGTTGATGAAAAAACCCAATACATTAAGGAGCTTGGTGGTGAAAAACTCAATTTGATATTTGCTTGAGGGGTGAATTGGAATTGATAATGCAATTAAAAATCTTTATCACCCAATTACATAAAAAAATGGTGGGTAAAAACCCCAATTTGTGAATTCTTATCTGGAGCTCTGTGTCTATATAGTCCCCTGGTAATCTACCCGGGAGCTTGCACCATTGAAGGTAAAGGAGGGCGAGCTGGACTCAGTGACAACAAAAAAAAAATAAAGATTGAAAAAAATTCACTGAGGCCAGGGCTGGACTAAGCTAGGTCAGTAGTCCCATTCATAGACAATGTGGCAGCCAAGTGATGCATTTACTAAAATGAGTGCAAATGATCGACAAAATAAGATAACATCGTTAGTGGATTACATATTTAATTACAGACATCATGAATAATCTACAGAATTCTATATTTCACAAGGAACAACCATGGAACTAAGGAAAACGCGCGTGACGTCCCCGGAGTAATGGATAGCAACGTCCGGGTATATGGGTTAGCAACACCCAGGGGTTATGGGTTTTGTAACGACGTGCGTTATGCAATCAAAATCCTAGAAATATACTAAGCCGGGGATAATTATTTATACGTCACATATTGTGTTCGTAAGGCTCTTCTGTACTTACCTTCAATAACAATATTGAAGCCATTATTTGTAGAAATGTATGCAATTTTTCTTCATTTGAAAGTTGTGTGATTTTTAAGAATTCATGTTAGCTAAAATTGCTTGTATTATTGTGTATGTGTGTGTGTTTTCGCTAGGGCTCCATTCTCCCTATTTCGCAAGTCCTCTGCCCTTTACCTTTGATATTCAATAAAATAATTGGCCGATCAATATCCATATTTCACGCTATTAAATCATTTGTAAACCATAAAAATATCAATTACTGTCTTGCTCATCTGTTTTGTTGTTCAATGTATGTCATGTCATAATGTCTGTAACTATATACTATTTAATGTTTGTTTATTTTTCTAATAAAAATCTAAAGACATATTGTTCCCACTTAAACTCTAGTTTTTCAAAATCAGTATACTCAGAATCGAACACACGACCTATCCCTTGCTGTTTGTTTTATAATTCTAAAGTATTATTTATTGTCTAGATTTTAAAAACACTTCATTCCAAAAAATGCTGTTATTTTAATCATATCAGCTGCGAACATAGTTAATCGTAATAGACTATTTCACAAAACCGACTTTTGACTCCATAATATATAATTTTTCGACAAGTTACATAAAATGTGGTATGCCATTTTGGTATTTGGTCAAGTAGAAGCAAGTAAAAAAAATTAAATCAAGCTTACAATTGGTGCAATTTGGGAAATAAATTAACTTTTTTTTTGGTGTTTTTGTCGTGTATAGATATTAACATAAAAAAATATTTGTTTACCCAAATTGCACCGATTATAAGCATGCTTGTACTTCTTTTAGTTGCTCTTACCTGACCGAGTACCAGAATGTCCTCCCACAGAATTGACAACCTGTCGAAAATTATATAATTGGGAGCCAACAGTCGGTAATATGAAAATAGTCTATTACGATTTCTTCATTTTTTATGATGATCAACAAATTTACTCTTTTATTCCAGAAACTTAGTTACAGTTACTAACAGCATTTTTAACTTCGGAACAGCTGTTGTGTTCATGGTACTTGCTGCAAATAACGCTGTAACATTGCTATCGAACTACACACAAGTCTCTTTCTGTTACTGGTTATTGCTTCTGAGTGTTCTCTTGACGCCAATCACATGTCTTGGAACACCTAAAAACTTTTGGTAAGATTTATTTATTTAGCATGTCTGTTACATAGGTAGAAATTCTGATCAATTTGAGTTGGCTTATATTTTGCCTAATTAAAGTCAAATTACAGTAAATTGGTGATGTCACATCCTTAAAAGATTTGTAATACAGGTTGATACATTTGAAATAAAACTCAAGAATATGATGTATCTATTTTGATATCTAAAATTTAAAGGAATAAATGTTCTTAAAATATATGTGCATTTATATAGAATGCACATAAAATAAGTGAAAAGCATACTTGAAAATGACTACAAATTATCATACTTCCAAAACCAATACATTGATCTATCTTGAAAATTGATAATTAGTTGTAACATACATTTCTGTTTAATCACAGTCACCGACTTCGTTTTTGATAGTACTGTGTTGATAGTCTTGCTACTACTTTTACCATATTTATAGGTACATTGGCATAGGTGCAACAATATCTACAGGTATAGCTTGTGTACTGATAATTATTCAAACATCCTTGGACAAACACAAACAACCAATCGTATATCATTCCGAAACGAGTATATTGAAGATATTTACAGCCTTCGGGAAAATGGTATTTGCTGTGGCAGGTCATTCAATTTTTCCTACAATAATCACTGATATGAAGAAGAAAAATGATTTTAATAAAAGTGCTCTTTTAGGATATTCAAGTAAGTTAAGCATGAAAGTGATATTTTCAGTTCTTTTTTTAATCATCGCATGTATGTGATTTATTTTGTTCGGGTCTTTGAATTAATGATATGTGCGACATGTATGTGATTTATTTTGTTCGGGTCTTTGAGTATATTTGATAAGTGCAATGACATGAGCGACATGTATGTGATTTATTTTGTTCGGGTCTTTGAGTATATTTGATAAGTGCAATGACATGAGCGACATATATGTGATTTATTTTGTTCGGGTCTTTTAGTATATTTGATAAGTGCAATGATATGTGCGACATCTTTAATTGAAGCCCTTTAATGGGTGTTTTGAATCAACCAATAACTAGGCGAAAGCTAGCATGTTTAACCCCCCCCCCCCTCAGTTAAAAAAAACAAGGGTATAATTTATATCAGTAAAAAACAGAGGGATAATTTATATCAGTAAAAAGCGAAGAAGGTAATTAATACCAGTAAATACACAAGGGGGTACTTTATATCGTTAAAAAATAAAGAGGCGTTTAAACCATTAAAAAATAAGGGGTTCTATATCATTAAAAAGCCAGGGAGCTACTTTATATCAGTGAAAAACAAGGGGGTACCTTATATCAGTAAAATCAACGGGGTACTTTCTATACAAAAACAAGGGGGTACCTTATATCAGTAAAATCAACGGGGTACTTTCTATACAAAAACAAGGGGGTACCTTATATCAGTAAAATCAACGGGGTACCTTATATCAGTAAAATCAACGGGGTACCTTATATCAGTAAAAACAACCGGGGTACTATATCATTAATCAAAGTACTGAAGTACTGAACATCGGATGACCGCAAGTTCTTGTGGATTGTCAAAAGCACTTGTCACAGAAAAAAAAATCACATCTCTATACTTGAAACTGAGGTTAATGTACAGAGAAATTTTTTTTCTGAGACAAGTTCGTGCGTGGATGATGAATAAATGACAGGAAATTCAACCTCACCGTAATAACTATTATATTGTAGTGATACAAATCAGTATACACTGGTTTGTTGTTATATATTATATTAATATAACAGTTACATGTATATATAATTTTCATCCATTTGTATATCATTCTATTCTACTATTCTAATAAGAGTGCAGTGCAAGTGCATGGTGGACACTCTTCTGTAAAAATTCGATTTTTCTAAAAGATTGGATATGAGTAGGCATTCATATTTTCCCGCAAAAACAATCTTCCATGCAGAGTTACCGGTCCTTGCCGGGATTGTCGCAAAATGTTCTAGAGATATTCTTCCGCATGCTTTACCATATCCTTTGATTTTTTACTTATATATATATATAGCTAACGACAAAACATTTTCATATTATTAATTTATGTTCTAAACAAAAATATTGTTATCAGTATTCATTGAAGAGATGCATTTATAACAAACGATAAGGAATGTTATTTTGCACTCGTTAATATCTGCGTATTTATCATGTTTATAGATCGGTTACAAACCCAAAACGAAAGTTACGTAATGGAAATCTAGGCGATAGCAATACATCGGAATGCCCTCACGGTCATCGCGATGTAAAAAGCAAGGGGTACTTTATATCAGTAAAAGGAAAAGGGGATACAATGTAGCTACCTTTTTGGATCGTTCCTTCCTTTTTTCATTTATCTTTTACAGTCGTAATGGTGATGTACCTTCCGACGGCACTCTCTGGATACCAGGCGTATGGACGAGATGTTAATGTTAACATATTAAAAAGCCTGTCTGTCGGTTATATTGCTCACATTACGGAACTTTTGATAACAGTTCATCTTCTTTTTGGATTTGTAATTTTTGTGAATCCTATTTGTCAACAATTTGAAGCTCTTGTTGGTGTACCGGAAGGTAAGGAGTTCTATGAAAGTGACGGAAATTAAAAAAATAAAATCTTCAAAGCAAAAGTATTTCTTTCAATTTCTTAATTGATAACTTGTGTATTCGTATTTTGAAGAGCAAGGATAAGTACAACTATTAATTTCTTTACACTTCTTAACGCATTTTGTGAAGCTTGTATTATACCGTAGGGAGCAACCATTTAACTTACAGGGGGGGGGGGGGGGTTATGGTTTTTTGTTTGAGTCAGAAATTTTTTTTTTCGCGCAGAGCGATCGATCTTATTTAGTTTTTCAACGCTATCAATCAAATTATAATTTTCATTATTTAACACTATAAGGTATGTGGAAAATCTGGAATCAGAATATTTTTTTTTGTCATCTGCTTGACCAGAATATTTTTTTTCATCAAATTGGGGATCAGAATATTTTTTTAGTAAAAAACCATACCCACCCCCTTTTGAAGTTAAATGGTCGTTCCCTTATTGTTCTTTTATTCGAATCAACTAGAAGCCTTTCAAATTGCATTTTTGTTTTGAAATATCTTTTTTTGGGGAGGGGGACCGGAAAGTAAGTATTGATCGTAATTTTCAAATATAAAATGTTATGTTTTGAAATGTTCAGGGAATTAAAATGTTGAAAATTTTGCCTGTAAAAAATTCCGAAACTGACTACATCTACTTATCGAGATTAATTAATTAATAAGAGTTACAGCCTAATACACAGCTTAATACACATTCTCTCCTTTATTCATTTCCAGAGTTCACGTGGAAAAGATGTATTGTTCGTCCTTCGATAGTATTAGCAGTACTCTTCGTATCTGAAAGTGTACCTCATTTTGGAACGATCCTGTCATTAGTTGGAGGTTCTGCCACGACATTATTAGCTTATGTTTTCCCGTGTGTATTCTATATGAAACTCTGTAGAGATGTAAACGAGGACCAAAAACTTGACTCACGTCGTGTGGTTAACAACGACGGTACGTTCACTCAGAAGTCAATCGAGCAGTCCCCATTACTAGACCATTTGACTGAAGAGGAAGAAAGAGAGAGTGCGTTTGAATGTGAAATTCCGGAAGACACTTCACGGGCGTCGTCAAGGACAATTATCAACGGGCCAATGTGAGTATTTTGTAAATGTTATGTTTGAAGGGACTGAGTATAATTGACAAAATTACATGTTTAAATATAGATGTACCAAGTGAGGGATAGCAATTTCTAAAGGGATATAACATATTCTCTTATTTTGTGTGCTTGTTAACGGTTCTGACCTGTTAAAAAAATTGTTAGCCACATGTTGATTTAAATTGTCTCGTGTTATTTCCCGCCATATCCATTCGGAACATTGAAATTCCAGATTCTACAATTTTACAGCATTTTCGTTCGTTGGTCCGCGAAAATTCAATGAAAACAGGGAGATTTGCATTCATTATTCTAAGAATTGGAACATAGAGCGCATGCGTCGACAAAAAAATAATCTTTAAACATAATGTTTGTGATAACATTTTACATAATATCGAACTTGAATATTCAGTTTGTCGAGGCGTGCGCTCTATATTTACTAGGCATAAGTTTGATGCCTTATTTGGGTTTAAATTTCAAAAATTTATATGAAAAGCTGTACAAAAAGAATTCTATTTCAATTTCTGGCGTGTCTTTTCATTGGACTTAATATTCGGGACTTAATATTACCGTTACCGAACTTACTCTTTTATAATCAAGAAAGGTGAAACATTTGATATGAATTCCGGAATTTTATCATACATAACTGTTAAAACCTTGCACATATAACTTTAATCGTTTCACTTCTGAACAAATTTACAATTTTGAATTTACATTTGTAAATAACTACCTTCTTACGAATAAATGGTGACGTTGTGAATACGTTAATGCGACAGCAATCCAACGACAAAAATAACCAAAAGAAATCTAGATTTTGATTAGACAGTCGCACTTTTTAGGCAAAATCGGAGTTTAGATATAGCACTTTTACTTATTAGTTGAATTTATTGTGTACTTAAATGTTTGAAGAGTTACAGAAAACCACAAAACCAGCAAATCATTCACAACTAACAAAATACACCAACTCCATGAACAATAAACAAATGCAACGACTTTTGAACTCAGAATTCTTTATTCCACAAAGTGATCAGTATGATCCATGGAAACCATTTATCTACTTATTAAAACCATTGTCATAATTTCACTATTAAGTTTCATCAGTGTTTTAATTTCACAATTAAGTTTTTTGCAGATACATGTATGTCACGTCCTGCCTTCTTGCTTGTAAATGATTCAGTATAATCCTTACATTTAATGAATGACTATTATTTATTTTGAATTTATTGAACCATAAAATTAATTTTTGACTCTTCACATTGAATAATCCGCGAAGCGGATTATGTAAAATGTGAAGAGTCAAAAATTAATTTTATGGTTCAATAAATTCAAAATAAATTATTGTCATTCATTATAAATAAATTTCTATCAAAAATAAGGCTCAAAGAGCTTTTTATATTATTTATATTAACAATAACAACGTACACACATGTTGGCGTATGAATACACAACGTCAGAGTGGGCGTGTCGCCATAAAAATTGACAACATTGAAAATAAAGGTAATACTTTTAACCAATCAGAAGACAGTAAATACACCAAATTTATTTATTAGATGATATTTCAAATGATGTTTAAAAGCTTGATTTTATACCTAATTTCAGCGTCATTCCCATGTGGCAGAAGATTTTAAACACCAAGATAGTAATGATTGGCATATTAGGGGGCACGGCAGCAACAGTGTCCGCCATTATTGATATAACCAATCCGGAGAGTTTGTCCGTTCCGTGTTACGTCACTTTACAAGGAGCAGGAACATGAATTACGTTTACTTCCCATGTCTAGTTCTGGTGAACACAAAGCAAGGAGAGGTTCATGATGGTTTAGATAAAAACCGGAAGTAGAAGAAAGAAGTTGGATTTTAATTGGAAAGACAACTAGTATTCTTTTGACCGGAAGTAAGGGGAAAAGTTAAACAGGGTTATAGTTACTAATTGATCGTTGAAAAGAATCGTACAAAACTATGAAGAATCATAATTATTACGGGTGTTCGCTGATCTTTTCTTTTTGTCAGATATTTTGAATCTTCTGGTTTTATCGATGTAGTGTCCTTAAAAATGTTGCCCACTAATCCCTTACATTTCTTTTTTTGTTTATTTTATTACATATAGTTTAAAAGCCATTTTTGAAAATGCTTGTTATTTTTTCATAGTTTTCATTTCCCGCCAAATTTTCGATGGCTTATATCTAAAAAAAAAAACAAGGACGTAGATATTTAATATTTCAGCTTTTTAGCTCACCGGGGCCCGAAGGGCCCCATGTGAGCTTATGCCATCACTTGGCGTCCGTCGTCGTCCGTCGTCGTCTGTCGTTGTCGTCTGTCGTCGTAAACTATTTCAAAAATCTTCTCCTCTGAAACTACTGGGCCAAATACTTTCAAACTTTAACTGAATGTTTCTTAGGGTATCTAGTTTATAAATTGTATCCGAAGTTTTGATCCATCGACAAACATGGCCGCCATGGCTAAAAATAGAACATAGGGGTCAAATGCAGTTTTTGGCTTATATCTCAAAAACTAAATCTTTTAGAGCAAATCTGACATGCAGTAAAACTGTTCAGTTGGTCAAGATCTATCAGCTCTGAAATTTTCAGACGAATCGAACCCATTGATGGGTTGCTGCCACCGAATTGGTAGTTTTAACAAAATTTTGCAGTTTTTTGTTATTATTTTGAATATTATTATAGATATATATAAACTGTAAGCAGCAATAATGTTCAGCAAAGTAAGATCTACAAAAAAGTTAATATAATCATAATTGTCAATTGACCCCTTAAGGAGTTATTGCCCTTTAAAGACAATTTTACACAATTTGTTCATCAAGTTTGCTAACATTTAAAAATCTTCTCCTCTGAAACTACTGGGCCAATTACCCATCAAATTTTAACTAAATGTTCCTTAGGGTATCTTGTTTATAAATTGTATCCGAAGTTTGTATCCATCGACAACCATGGCCGCCATGGCTAAAAATAGAACATAAGGGTCAAATGCAGTTTTTGGTTATATCTCAAAAACTTAATCTTTTAGAGCAAATGTGACATGGGGTAAAATTGTTTAATTGGTCAAGATCTATCGGCCCTGAAATTATCAGACGAATCGAACAACCCATTGTTGGGTTGCTGCCACCGAATTGGTAGTTTTAACAAAATTTTGCAGTTTTTTGTTAATATTTTGAATATTATTATAGATATATAAACTGTAAGCCGCAAAAATGTTCAGCAAAGTAAGATCTACAAAAAAGTTAATATGACCAAAATTGTCAATTGACCCCTTAAGGAGTTATTGCCCTTTAAAGACAATTTTACACAATTTGTTCATCAAGTTTGCTAACATTTAAAAATTTTCTCCTCTGAAATACAGGTGAGCGATTCAGGCTCTTGAGAGCCTCTTGTTAAGTTCCGTTATTTATAAACTTTCAATTCAGAACAATCTTTTAAAAAGCTTGTTATTTTGAAACAGCAGCGAACATCCTTAAGTGTGAATAGATTGAAATGGTTTGTATGGGCAAATGATGGCCTTATATTTCTGCCCTAGAACAACGACTCTTATAGATATCCAATTAACAAAATGGGATCATGATGACTAACCATACTTTGTAAAATGATGTATCCATAATGTGAACACTTTACCAAAGAATCCTTTCATAGGCACTTCTGTTACATGTTGTACGTAAAGCAGTACGTACTTTTTATCTCGTACATTGTTAGATTTTTATATTTAGTTTATTATGTAATTTACTTGAAAAATAACTTATTAGCTTTTAACATTTTACTCTATTTATCCAATTGATCAGATCTTTATTTTTTTTAATTTTCTGTAAGGTATACGTTATTACCATGTATTAAAAATTATAATAAAATTTCGGATGCATTATGAACTCATTAAACTGTATCTGAATATAGAAAAATGATATACTGTACCATGTATGTAGCATTTAATTCTACAGAGATAGATACATTTAATTAATCGATCAACAAAACGTTTATGATTGAAATATATCTCTTAATGTGTAGAATGCACGTTGAAAGGGCCCCTTTTTACCATAATTATGTGAAGCACTTACAAAGTCAAACTTATTGTCATATTGATATTTAGCTTGGTATATATAGGGACAACAGTTTATCACACCTTGTTGTTTCTCTTTGCAAAAAAACTCTGAAATTGGAAACCAAGTCGGAAGTTTAGAAATGAACTCCTGCGTTTGCTTTGCCTCATTCAAGATATTCGTACAAAATTAAAAATCAATGGTATACCAGAGAATATATATTGAAAGTTGGGCATCACTGGACATAACGTCACCAATCACGGTTCACAATTGAAATTCTCAGCTGTTTCCGACTAAGGCCGAGTCAATCTGAAGTTGTGTCGTTATTTGTTCTTCAGAAAGAAAAAAACGATTTTGAACTATGGAACACATTCGTTTAATTGTCTTTGGTTTCTATATTGTCAGGTCTTTGAAAATGTTGCATATGAATTTGGTGTTTAGAAATTGGCAGTTTAGAGTTCCTGAATGGATTTAATACAACAATACCAACAGTTGTATATTTTCGTATACAAAAATAATTGGTTGTTTGCGTTTCATCTTTTGAAATTATTTAGTGAAAAAAGGAAGGAAGAAACATCTAATTGGTATAGCGCCGTAAGCTTTATTGATAAAAATACAATAAAAATGAGTTCATAAAAATCGTTTTACATTTTTGAATGCACAATTATAACAATGAACAATATCATGAAATTCAGTATAAAAATATAAGATATATTTATAAAACAACAAACAGTAATAGGTATTTAAAATATTGGTATATAAGAAATGTTGACAGGTGGATCTCAACAAGGACATCTTCCTTCACAAGCAACGGTCACGTCACTGAAATAAAGAAAATGACATATTAAGAGATGGTAATATAAGTAAAGTTTGAACTACATGGAATTAAAACGAAGTATTTTGATAGATTTGAATACTCTTTGAGCAAGTCTTTAACTGTTCTATATTGAACATGTGGCTTTTCGACTTCGCAAGTTTCATTAACAATGTTTATGTTTGATTGCAAATGATTCAAATTCTGCATTTTGTCTGTAAATTTTCATTTCATAAAAAGTAAAATAATAAAAATGCCGAACTCCAAGGAAAATTCAAAACGGAAAGTCCTTTATCAAATGGCATAAAAAAATTAATCAAAAGCTCAACTCATCAAACGAATGAAAAACAACTGTCATATTCCTGACTTGGTACAGGCATTTTCCTGAAAATGGTGGATTAAACCTGGTTCTATAGCTAGCTAAACCTCTCAGTTGTATGGCAGTCACATAAAATTCCAGTCAGTCAACATTATGTTATAATCTTATTCACTTTAAAAACAAATAACTATTACAAAAAAGAAAAACAAAATGGCACATAGACACTCTTCAGACAAGGCACATAAGCAAAAAATGAAAGACAAGAATACAAAAAATGACCATAGCACAATAACACAATGGCGGGATGTATAAATACCGAGCCATGCCAAAAGTATATTACCAAAAATGGACTAAACAGTAAAATAATGTTATTAAGCTAAAGCTAATGTTCAATTTCCCAAAGCAAAGTTAACGGTGGATGGTTTTGGTTGTTTTGTTATGGCCTCTTCGATTTTCATTGCAATGTTTTTGAATTTTTATAGTTTTTGTCCAGAGCTAGCATGATGATGCATCTACGAAGTTTTATTCCAAACATCAACAACAACTGCAATGAAGTTACCAAGTGAAAAAAATCCTTTCCAAAACAGGTTGTGAGCGATACTCGTACTCATGGCTTGTAGAATCAGTATCAAGAAAAAATGACAGCCTATCGATTTTATGACACCAACTCTCCAACATTAAATTTAATCGCAGAGATTCATCTTTGCAGAACCAACCACCCATTGCTTAAACAAGATAGGAAAAATCCAAATCAAACCTAAAATTGTGTGTTTACTCTCAAAAGGATACACCAAACCGCAAATTTAAAATGTTGGAACGGAACTATTTCCGTTTTACACATTCTCAGGAAGTGTTCTACATCTTGTTAAATTTCATCAATATTCGCCCAGCCCGTTCGGAGGATTTACACTTACAAGACACATGGATAGATAGAGAGACACACAGATGAACTTGCGGATGGACAGGGAGATTCATATACTAGTATACCTCTTAAAGTTTGTTTGCGGGGGAAAAATATGAAGAATTTGAACAAAAGATTGTCAAAGTTTTATTCCGAATCGTTGTGACAAATGTTTAGTTCGTGATGATGATGATGATGATGATGATGATGATGATGATGATGATGATGATGATGATGATGGGTGGCTGCTTAACGTCCAGCGGCAAATTAATATCCATATTCAGGATGAGAACATGCAATACTAACCTTGCTTTGTACTAGACCGACACGCTTAGCCGGACTTTTAACGTGCTATTTCACAAGGTAACAGTCCACAGGAAGACATGTCACCTTCCCTGGACACATTATTCTTACTCCGAGCCGACCAGTCTTAGCTCTTACTCCTTAATGTCGCGTGCTTAGTGGAGATGCAGCAAATACCAATTTCAAAGTCTTTAGTTTGACCCGGACTGGGTTCGAACCCACGACCCATGTTTAGTTGACTTCCGATATACTGTGAAATAGTTATTTACAAACAATCAGCCAGACACTTATTGTTTTAGGTGTTGCCATCAATACCGCGACCATGTTTCATATCACGTGTAAATAAACCCATCATAGATACCAGGATTGAAATTTTGTACGCCAAATTTGCATATATTTTTCTCACTTCACGAACAGCGCCCTTTACAGATGATTTCAACGTTTCTTAATGATCATTAAAAAGAATATTTGCACAATTAATTGACGCCTTCTAAATTATGTGAAAATGGAAGGAAAATAAACGAGGAAACTAAAGGTCAGCTTTACAGCAACCGGGCTTGCGATTATAAAAAAAATCTTGTACGATTATCGTACTCATACTCTTAATCAACCAATCAAAATACTGGATTTGGTGTTTCGAGCCGAGTTCTGAGTATAGTTTTATGACCGAAACCCCCGATCTTTCATACAGTCATACAGTACTTGGTCCGTGTAACCTTCCCATTTATACCATTCCCCTTCAAATTATATCATCCACTATTAGTTTATGATAACTCTTAATTCAATTAAGCCTCATCGATGATGCAAATTTAATAGAGAATAGTAGGACTAATAAAAGTCAGAGCAAATCTAATGGTAGAATGAGCTAATATTTTCTTTTTGCTCTGAGGCTTCCCAGAATGAATATGTGCAGTTCAAAACATATTTTTGTTAGGCGAAATAAATCGAAGGTGTTAAATTTGATATTATGCAATGTATTTCGTGCACTCACCGACACTCAGCCATACATCTATTACTATATGTCCTGTCATTCATTCCACACACTGGTCTCCTTTCCTTAGTACAACTACATGTCCTTGACGCTTTACAAGGACATCGGCCTTCACAGTCGACTCCATTAGCCCTTGAACAAAAAAAAAATATTTATCAATACATTGTACATGTCTTTAATCTTTTGATCTCTCCTACTGTTTAAATTTCGAACACAAATATGATTAACAAAAACATCTACATTTTTCGTGTTCGCTTTTTTTGTTTGTTTGTTTTAATTCATGTTATTCGTGGTGTAGATGATATGAAGTAAATATTATATACTCACTTGCAATCTGCCATGCATCTGTTTGCGTACGTCTTTCCATTTTTTCCACAGACTAGTTTCCGTTCTCTGGTACACCTACACAGTTTTTGTTTCCTGCATGGGCATTCTTTTTCGCATTTGATATCTACATTCCTTTAAATATAAAATTTATAGAATGAAACTTTTTCCATTAACATGCTCTTGAATGTGATTTAATTGTCCCCTTTCACTAAAACTAATAGTTTATTAATTCAGCAGATAGAATAAAATTCATTGGTTTAATTATTTTTCATATTCTGTGAGAAATTCAAGGTGAGTAAGAATAGAAATTGTAATTGGTATAATTTTCTTTAAACTACATGCAGGTAGCGTATTTTATTTGAGGAATTTCAACATCTTTTAAATCAACTTACTGACATTCCGCCATACATCTGTTGCTGTATGTTTTGCCATCACGACCACAGACTGGTTTCCGTTCTCTGGTACACCTACACAACTTTTCTGTTCTACATGGACATTCACCTTGACATTCAATCTCAACGTTTCTGCAGGAAGGAAAAATAAAGATTTTGTCCGATTTTTTAAAACTTTTATTTGTTAGTACTGTGTGTCTCACATGACCGAAAAGTGTTTATTTGCTATTGGCGTGTGTCTCACATGCCCGTAAGTGTTTTATGAGGAACATCAAACAAAGAAATATTGTTCTGTACAAACAATTTGTTTCTGGTAGTAAATTTGTATATTATTCACTTTGATCAAATACAACTATCTGCTATTTTCGTTAATGATTCCATCAATCAACATTGTTTTCGTTTTTGGAATCAAATAGTGTAAGCACAAGCACATTGACGTCAACATACAAGTTTAGGCAATAATCGTTTCTTTTTGTATTCGCTTTTATCCACGGATATATATCTTTCAATCACCAGCTACACAAAATAAAGCTTAATTACCCTCAAATATCCTTTATACAAAAAATTCAAAAATGTCATTGTGACACACATTTGACAGTCTTGGGAGGGGGCAAATATAATAAGCGAGACTTGCAAAAGGTGTGCATGAATATTCCGTCAAGAAAAATTGTCTTGGCTGTCCCTTCCCACAAACCACAGAATATCAAATGATCGTCCACTTTATAAGTCCCGAAATGTTCAATGTTTGATTTGACATCAACAGTATATTACTGATAGTAGCCATATTTTAATAAAGGAAATGCCCATTTGGTAAATACTTATTGTTACTATCTTCAGTCGTCGTATGACTTTACTACAATGTAGATACTTACTGACAATCGGCACCACATTTGTTCCCATATGTTTTCCCATCAACTCCACATACTAGTCTGTAATCCATTGTACAGATACATTCCTTCCTACATGGACATTCTCCGTTACAAGCTGTAGCCGTACTGGCACAATCCGCTCCACACTTGTTTCCGTACGTTTGGTTGTTGGTTCCACATACCGGGGAATATTCCATTGTACAAACACACAAACTTACCGCGGATCTTGTACAAGGACATTCTCCTTCACATTGAATATGTGCACCTCTGCATAAAAAGGGAGCATATGCACATATTGTATACATTTTATCATATCAATATAAAAATAAGGATATATGGTATGATTGCTAATGAGACAACTATCCATTCAAGTTCAAATGAAATTGATGTAAGCAATAATAGGCAATCGTAATGCCTTTAAAAATGAGAAAAACCCATACGGTATAGTCGGCTATAAAAGGCCCCGAAATGAAAAATATGAAAAAATTTAATTGAGAACAGTAACGGTCTAATCTATATTTCTAAAATGTGATTTAGTAATAGACAAAAGTAATAATAAAAATTCTTCAACTTTTTTGAATTTTTACAGAAAGTAAATAAGAACCGTTACATAGATTTCTAATTCAGATGGGTTTTTGATTTGTGTATTTTTATTGGAATTATGGGCTTTAAATGTCGGTAAAACAACTGGTTTGCGACGGATGCCACATGTGGTCCAATATATGCTTACCCTTCCGAAGCATTTGAGATCGCCATCAGGTTTTGGTGGGGTTCGTGTTGCTCAGTCTTTAGTTTTCTATGTTGTGTTTTGTATACTGTTGTTTGTCATTTAGGCATTTTCGTTTTTTCCCAAGGCATTGTCAGTTTATTTTCGTCTTATGAGTTAAAAAAAATGCATATAAAGGTACTAGTATGCTCAATATGTGATGTAGTTTGTTAGGTATTCATTTTTAAGTATTGTCCGTTCTTATCGTATACGCACATTATTTGAATTTAATGCTGTTGTGTTGGAGTGTCTACTGTATCTTTACATGCTAATTTTTTTTCAAGTTTTTAATGGTAACAAGTCAATGCAGACACGTCCGCTAACGGGAAAATATCTAATCACAGACGAATATAGAAAATATTATTTCTTTCAGAAATGCACATAATTTAAATAGTTTTGAAATTAACTCACTGGCATTCTGCCATACACTTGTTGCTGTATGTTTTTCCATCACGCCCACAGACTGGTTTCCGGTTTCTGGTACACATACATAACTTTTCTTTTCTACATGGACATTTACCTTGACATTCAATCTCAACATTTCTGCAAAAAGCAAAACATATTTGTGTTATTGGCTGGTCTACTTGTCACGGAAATCCCGGTACTTTTTTCTCAGGGAAAATTTAGGAACGAACATCAAACACGCCTTTTCTCATATAAAGGAACGGTAAAATAGTTGTGGAATCCAACCTTGTTAACAGAAACACATATAGTGTCATCACGTATTTACCAAAAAAACTCATCAAAGATACCAGGCTTATAATTTACAAGTTGTTCTCTTAACTCTTTTAAATGCAATATGAACTATGTTGATTTTATAATACTTTTGAATATTCCATGTGATAAAATCAGAAGTGATACACCATGATATTTATAAGTACTGCTAAACAGGATAGTCAAATCTAATATGAATGCACATACCCTAACAAGGAGTGTCAATGAATAAAAGAATGCCGGTGTGTTATTGTCACGAGGAACAAGATATACTGTTCCTTTATAATACCCACTATTCGGTAAACAGGATGTTGAAACAAGATGGATAGGAAACGCATCACATGATATATCATAATCATACCAATCTTGATACCACATTTAAGTAAGCTCTGTTGCTGAGAATAATGAGATAAAGAAATTCCGTGGACCAACGAACGGACGAAGGAAGATTTAGGCAACAGTAGTATACCGACATTCAAAACAGTATACTTCCTCTCTCGAAGCGGTGTTATGAAAATAAAAGTTTCTAAAACAGAATACAAAAACACCTTCTTCTCTCCCCCTTTCATTTAGAATGCATCTTAAAGTTACAAATTAAGAATTCATTACAAACAAGACCTTTCAGCCGATTGCATGTCTCAACATTTACAAATATAAGAAAAATGTCTGAAAATTGTCGGGAAATAATGAAGATCCTCTGTATTCCATTAGAAAGATTTCTGAATGAAAGAAGTGATCAATAAAAGCAAGCGTCACTAATATCCTGTCAGCTAATGAAATGTGGTTTTAACATCTTCTAAATTTAAGCGAAACAGTCTGGAGGTTGTAGCTAAATTTATCAATCAAATGTTGACCTCAAAATAAATGGTGGCATACATAATGATTTTGGGTTGTGATTGTCGATGTTACGATTTTAATACAATATTAGAATAAAGGTTAAATTATCTTGTAAAAACAATAATGAATTATTTGCCATGGCGGGTTTCTAAAATGTAGATACTTACTGACAATCGGCACCACATTTGTTCCCATATGTATTCCCATCAGTTCCACATACAGGTCTGTAATCCATTGTGCAGATACATTCCGTTCTACATGGACATTCTCCGTTACAAGCTATAGCCGTACTGGCACAATCCGCTCCACACTTGTTTCCGTATGTTTGGTTGTTGGTTCCACATACTGGGGAATATTCCATTGTACAAACACACAAACTCTCCGCAGTTCTTGTACAAGGACATTCTCCTTCACATTGAATATGTGCACCTCTGTCAAAAAGGAAGTATATGCACGTGTTGTAAATTTGTTATCACATCATTTAAAAGAAAAAAAATATCAGTATTGAAAAGTTACGCAAGGGAGCCACCAGGAAAAACTATTTGACTGATTCGGTCAACAAAAATTCATTAATATACAGGTAAAACGATGATAGACATATATTATTAATCTATAACAATAAATCAAACAAACCTAGAAAAATTGTCATACGTTTGCAACTGCTTGATTGTTTGTATTTATATCAATATCGGGTTAGATGATCATCGGCAGTCTTTGGAAGTTATCTTGATGGATTATAAGATGGCGTACAGTCTAGAAAACGCACGATATGCTGCTACATTATAACGAGTTCATACATTGTTTATTGTTTCTTTTGGGCTTTTGGTAATTTGAATATACTTTTCAGTATATAACAAATCAAATATGAGAATTTTGGTCAAATGGGTGGACTTAAATTTGACAGCTAATGGCTCAATTAATGCAGATACTTCCACAAACAACAATATGCAATCACGACTAATTTCGAAAACTGCTACTAGTATTTGATTTAAGGTAAGGGATGCACAAAATTTTGATAACTTTGAAATCAACTTACTGACATTCTGCCATACATCTGTTGCTGTATGTTTTGCCATCACGTCCGCACCCAGGTTTGCGTTCTCTGGTACACCTACATAACTTATCTTTTCTACATGGACATTCACCTTGACATTCAATCTCAACGTTTCTGCAAAAAGCAAAATATTTGTTTATGTTATTGTCTATTCAACGGGTTATCTGGTATAGTTGTTTTCAGAGAGATAATTAGTTACTAACACAAAGCACACTTGTTTGATCCAAAACAGAGAGATGAATGCGATATTTGAATTCGTAAAACGAAAACAAGCTAACTATGCCATGGCTAAAAAAGATCTTAAGATGAATAACAGTATACAAAAAACAACAAATGAATCTTTCATTTTGTTATCATAATTTTTCATAGCGGGTTTGTACAATGTAGATACTTACTGACAATCGGAACCACATTTGTTCCCATATGTTTTCCCATCAACTCCACATACAGGTCTGTAATCCATTGTACACATACATTCCGTCTTACATGGACATTCTCCGTTACACGCTATAGCCGTACTGGCACAATCAGCTCCACACTTGTTTCCGTACGTTTGGTTGTTGGTTCCACATACTGGTGAATATTCCATTGTACAAACACACAAACTTTCCGCGGATCTTGTACAAGGACATTCTCCTTCACATTGAATCTGTGCACCTCTGTCAAAAAGGAAGTATATGCACATGCTGTAAATATTTTATCTCATCATTAAAAAGAAAAAAAGTCAGCGTTGAAACGTGAAACAAGGGAGCCACCAGAAAAAAACATTTTGTTGACTGATTCGGCCCACAAAAAACACTCTCATACAGATAAAACGGTGACATACATACATTATTAATCTATAACATTAAACCAAACAAACCTAGAAAATTGTCATTATACGTTTGCAACTGCTTGGTTGTTTGTTTATATTTATATTAATGTTTATATCGGGTTGAATGACCGTCGGCAGTCTTTGGAGGTAATCTCGATAGATAATTAGGTGGCGTCCAGTCTAAAATACGCACGAAATGCTGATACATTATAGCGAGTCCATGCATTGTTTATTGTTTCTTTGGGACTTTTGGTAATTTTAATATACATTTCAGTATGTAACAAATCAAATATGAGAATTTGGGTCAGATGAGTGGACTTGAATTTGACAGCTAATATATATAAAAATAAGGAGATGTGGTATATAATTGTCAATGAGACAACTATCCACCCAAGTTCAAATGAAGTGGATGTAAGCAATAATAGGCAACCGTACGGCCTTCAACAATGAGAAAAGCCCATACCGTATTGTCGGCTTTTCAAGGATCTGACATGCAAAAATATGAAACAATTCAATTGAAAAAAACTAACGGTCTAATTCATAACAAAACACTTTACGAAGAACAAATATGACAGACATAAACCAACGACAACCACTGAACTACAGGCTCCTGACTTGGGACAGGCTCATAAAGGATGTGACGGGGTTAAACATGTTTGTGAGTGCTCAACCCTCTCCTAACCTGGAACAGTGGTGTAACAGTACAACATAAGTACAAACTATAAAAATCAGTTGAAAAAAGGCGTAACTCATCAGATCGATACAAAGAGAAAACACTTTAATGCAGACACTTCCACAGACAAAAATATGAAATCACGACTAATTTCGAAAACTGCTGTTTGATTTTGCGTAAAGAATGCATAAAATTTTGATAACTTTGAAATCAACTTACTGACATTCTGCCATACATCTGTTGCTGTATGTTTTGCCATCACGTCCGCACACAGGTTTGCGTTCTCTGGTACACCTACATAACTTATCTTTTCTACATGGACATTCACCTTGACATTCAATCTCAACGTTTCTGCAAAAAGCAAAATATTTGTTTATGTTTTTGTCTATTCAACGTGCCACGGTTTCCCTGGTATAATTCTTTTCAGGGGGAAAATAGTTACTAACAAAAAAACACACTTGTTTGATCTCATAACAGAGAGATGAAGGATACTAACGGGATATTTGAACTCATAAAACGAAAACAAACCAACTATGCCATGGCTAAAAACGATCAAAAGACAAATCACAGTATACACAAAACAACAAATGAAACTTTCATATGTTTTCATAATTTGTCATTGCGGATTTGTACAATGTAGATACTTACTGACAATCGGCACCACATTTGTTCCCATATGTTTTCCCATCAACTCCACATACAGGTCTGTAATCCATTGTGCAGATACATTCCGTTCTACATGGACATTCTCCGTTACAAGCTATAGCCGTACTGGCACAATCCGCTCCACACTTGTTTCCGTACGTTTGGTTGTTGGTTCCACATACTGGGGAATATTCCATTGTACAAACACACAAACTCTCCGCGGATCGTGTACAAGGACATTCTCCTTCACATTGAATCTGTGCACTTCTGTAAAAGATACATATGCACATGTTTTTGAGTTGAAATGTCTTACAATAATTCAAAATACATACATAACAAAAAGAAAAGACGTCGAAATTGATATATATTGTTTACTGTTTGTATTACAATTCTTTTTACTGCTGTTTGGTTCGAAATTCGGTATGCCAATTGATCCTACTGGCCTTTTAATTGTTGTATTACTATGAATCAAAATGCTTGCAAAGCCTTTTTATAAAGACCATTGAAAATCTGTACAATCAAGTCACAAATAGGATGATTTTTAACAAGTCTATATATACTTTACATTTAACTTACTTGCATACAGCCATACATTTGTTATTATACGTCTTTCTATCACGTCCACATACAGGTTTATACTCTCTAGTACATTGACACAATCGGTTGTTCCTACACGGGCATTCCCCATTACATGCAATCTCGACACCTTCACAATCGGCCTGGCATGTGTTATCGTACGATTCTCCGTTTACTCCACAGACTGGTCTAAACTCCATTGTACAGATACAGGGTTCACTTCTATTACGACATGGACATTCTCCATTACATGCAACGTCAACTTTCGCACAATCAGCACCACATTCGTTCCCATATGTTTGGTCATTAATACCACATACAGGGCGATAGTCACGTGTACATGCACATGGTTTTTTGTTGCCCATACATGGACAATTGCCCTGACAGGAAACAGCAGTATTATCACATCCTGCTCCACATTCGTTGTCATATGTTCTGTTGTTGACACCACAGACAGGGTCATAACTAGCCATACAGTAACAAGGGGCTTTACAAGGACATGTGTCGTTACAGAGGATGTCTGCATTACTGCAAAAAAAGAGTTAAAATAATAATAGAAAAGGTACAATAATGAAACATTAACAAATTTTTACTTTTGGATATTTAGCTATAATGACTAATAAAATTATAAAAGATACCAAGGTCATTAAACATTATTAGAAGGACATTCATTTGTCAAAAGTCAACATTAATGTACCCGTATGAAACCTATTCACAACTGTTCTAATTCAAGCTCCACTAATGGATCTGGTGCAGACGAAACGCGATTTTTGCGTATTAAAATATAAGCCCGGTACCTTTAATGAGTTTTTACAAACACAAGGTCAAAGCCACAAATGATGGACAATTTATCCTCGAGAATATCATCAGCCCATGCAGTAGTCAGCACTTTAGTGTTGACAGAAAACATCATTGTTGTGGTCATTCTATGTAAACTAAATGTTCATGAAATGTTGAAATCATTTGGAAAACTAAGGATTTTCGAGTCCAATGCATATAAAGCCTAAGCCAGATGGGGCTTAATTTTACCTTGACGTTTTAAGTTTCAATGTTCTTCACATTACAAATGAGTTTGCCTTTAAACTGTTTTCATTTGAACACCACTTCTTTAGACGAAACGTGTGTTTGATGTATCTAATTATGAGTCTAGCACGCTTTATAAGCTTTTACATGCAAATGAAACATGTTTCTGGGGTGAAAGTTCAACAGCAATACGAAAGACCAGAAGTTTGGAAAGCTAAATAAAATAATTATTTGTGAGAGGATCACATTCAAAATGACTTAATTAGAACTGTGAATGGCCAACTTTGCCTTGGTATGTTGAAACCTAAATAAAGAAAATCGGGGCCTCGGTGGCTGAGTTGTCCCAGTAGTCGAACTACTGTATCACAAGCCAGTCAACACTGAGGTTGTGAGTTCGAATCCCGTACGTGGCAGTTGCATTCGACTCCAATCTTAATTGACTAGAATTGTCAGTTTTCCTACCTAAGATCGGTGGTTCTCTCCGTACACTCCGGCTTCCTCCACCAATAAAAACTGACCGCCACGAAATACCACAATAGTGTTGATAGTGGCGTTAAACATCAATCAATTAATCAATATAAAGAGGATAAAAATTTACAGTCGAGGTTGAAAAATTATGACAATTCAACAAACAATACCACATTTTCTAAATGAAAGCAAAGTTGTAAGCAACGCCTCTTTTAATTGTGCAACTAGTTCACATGTAGATGGAAACCACATACAAATTTATTTAATACATTGTAGGAAAAACAAATTTCTTAATTGAATTATTCGGAATCTATTAGAAACGTATGCTAGTTATGACTTACTTGCATTCCGCCAAACATCTATTACTGTATGTTTTCTTGTCACTTCCACACACCGGTTTATACTCTCTGCTACATTGACATAATCTCCGACAAGGACACTCGCCATTACACTCCACTTCAATATTGGCACAGTCAGCCCCACATTTGTTACCATATGTTATCCCATCAACACCACATACAGGTCTATAGTCCAATGTACATATACAAGGCCGTTTTGTATTTCCGCAAGGACATTCCCTTTCACAAACGATACTAGCTCCATCGCAGTTGGCCTCACATTTGTTACCGTATGTCCGTCCATTTACACCACAGACTGGTCTGTAATCCATCGTGCAAAGACAAGGTTTTTTTATGTCTTTGCATGGACATTCTCCCTCACATGCGATGATAGTCTTTGCACAGTTAGCGCCGCATTTATTACCATATGTCTGACCATTTGTTCCACATACGGGTCTGTAGTCCATCGTGCAAACGCAATGGTCAGTTGTATTTTGGCATGGACATTCGTCTTTACAGGCCACATCTACCCCAACGCAGTCGGCTTCACATTTATTTAAATATGTTTCATCATTGGTACCACATACTGGAGTATATTCCTTTGAACATGCGCATGCTCCTTTACAAGGACATTCACCATTGCATGCTACCTCTGTTTGATCACAGCCAGCATTGCATTTGTTCCCATAGGTCTTCCCGTTGGTTCCACATACTGGTTGATAGTCCATAGTACATATACAGGATTTGCTTTTACAGGGGCACTCGCCATTACAAGCCACTTCAGCATTGTCGCAATCGGCATTACACTTGTTTCCAAATGTCATGCCGTTGGTTCCACATACAGGTCGATAATCTAAGGTACATATACAAGGCTTTTTGCAAGGGCATTCTCCATCGCATGCAATCTGAGCATTGTCGCAATCGGCATTGCATTTATTGCTATAGGTCTTATTGTTAATGCCACAAACTGGTCTATAGTCCATTGTACAAATACATGGTTTTTTGCAAGGACACTCTCCATTACAAGAAATGGCTACATCACTGAAAGATAAATATAATTATCATACAGTGAATAAAAACCACTCAGAATTCATAAAAATCGACAAATGCATTAAATAACTTATTGTGTTATTTTCATTTTCTAGTACTAGGTCAAAACAACTGGTTTGTAAATTGTTAGTCCCCAAGGGTACCAACAACTCAGTAGTCAGTGCTTCGGTATTGACATGATTTATAACAAAGCTTTCGCAAATTTTCCGTTGATGAATTTAGAAATGATCACGAAACTAAGGTTCCAACTCCTTCCCGTAAAGTTGACCTTAGATAAATTTGACTACATATATATAGATCTTCGCGTGATTTTGTCTTGTACATCCTTGGCTTTTAAATGTTTGGGTTGGAGTTTTCCTGATGAAGATAAATCCAAAAAAGAACTTCGGACACAACGCACGAAATTATTGAATTGTTATTGTCATTCAGTATACTAGTACATGGAACAATTTTCATGAAAACCCATTACCAGTAACATTAGAGACTAAAAGTTTTCACGCCAAAATGACGACAAAATAAATGTGTTGATATTCAAAACGAGACAGTCATATTTGCAAGCGCTTGAAGCATTGACACAATAATATGGACGGTCGCAATCCTGCTAACCTTGACAAGCGACGAATGTGATCTTCAAACGTAGGTTTCCAGGCTTCTTTTGTGCATGAAAATCATTACTGCATTGACTAGATACTTACATTTTACCATTACTATATATTAAACATGAAGCAAGATGAATAATGTATGCAGGCTGAGATTTAATTAAAATTGGATCGGTTTTATTTATGAAATGACTTACTGACATTTCGCCATACAGTTATTGCTGTATGTTTTTCCATCACGCCCACAGACCGGTTTTCTTTCCCTGGTACACATACATAACTTGTCTGGTCTACACGGACAATCACCTTGACATTCAATTGCAACGTTTCTACAAAATGCACAAAAAAAATTAAACGATTGTTTGCTTCATTTTATTCGAGGGCTACTATTTGGTTTTGCTTTTCATTGCAGATAAACATAAATTCTAGTTTTAAGGTAAAGCTTAGTCCCTTAGAACCATACTGATAAAAGATGCTGTACATAATATCTTTTAATAAAAGCATGAGTTATGTCAGTTTGCAATGTATAAATGTACTTACTGACATTCCGCCATACAGGTGTTGCTGTATGTTTTACCATCACGTCCACAAACTGGTTTCCGTTCTCTCGTACACTTACACAACTTTTCTTCCCTGCATGGACATGGGCCTTTGCATTGTATCTTAGTTTTTCTGTAAAGACAAATTGCTAAATTTATTACAAAACATTTTTTTTAGAAAGACATAAAAATCATATGAGACAAAAATCATTAGAATTATAACTCTGATGTTCTTTCTAAAACATTTCTTTAAGCAAATAATGGTTTTTAGATTTTGGTGTTAAATTGCTTTACGAAGTTTTATATTATGCTACCACAATTTGGTAGGCAATTCCACAAGTAAAAATCTACATATAATTGAGAATGGAAATAGACATAGAATTGATGGACATAATGTTCACCGTTCGGACAACGATTTGACTAAAATAACTATGAAAAATGATAAGATATGGTATGATGCCAATGAGACAACTCTCCACTACTCTTTGAAGTAAGACAAAAGACTAAATATAAATAACAGCGATATTTAAAACAATATTTCTGTTCAGAAAACACCAAAATAAAAACAAACCCTTATAACATTTATTTTTTTTTTAATATCAATAGTAGATTTCCCAACAGGTATTCCTATTTTTTAAAAATAGCCAAAATGTAAATCGTATGACATTTCTATAACAGTTAACAAACAACTCCAACAAAAACAACAACCCAAAAAGCCCAGTTTCAATCTATAAAGTTTGAATCTGATCTCTCTCCGCTCGCAGTTCAAACCATTTAAACTATTTTCACGTCTATTTCTGTGTTTTTGCTTGAACGAGATTTATCAACTGGCAACGGTTAACTTATACCAACTTTGTGTATTAATCTTATATATCACAAACATATGTATGATACGAGGCAGTATTTTGACCTACGGTCCTAGAACCTTTTAGTAAAATTAAAGAAAAGCATTGATAATTGAAAGCTTTTAAAATACTCACGAGCATTTCGCCATGCAGGGGTTGTTGTAAGTTTTCCCATCTCTGCCGCACACCGGTTGAAACTTCCGGTTACAGAGACATCTTATATCCAGTGCTTCCGTTTGACCTTCACAAGGACAATCCCCTTTACATTTAGGTTTAGTTCCACTTTAATAAAATGAATCTAATATTTTATTTTATAATTATCCAGTAATAATAAAATGATAATAAAACGCTCGAACACATAATCATTGTTTTTTTCATGTTTGAACATATTTCTGTTGCATACCAACATCTAAATTTCGAAAACTTAGACAATATGTAGGTAAGTCAGATTAGATTCTATAAAAATCACAAATCGTGGCCGTTTATAGCTGACTATCCCGTATGTGTTTTGCGCATTGTTGAAGGCCATACGGTGACTGGTAATTGCCTACATCAACGTTATTTGGTTTCTGGTGGATAGTGGTATCATTGGCAATCATACAACATCTCTTTTCTATAGGAACACTTAATTCGTTGATGCTATTACTGTTTTCCCCAAGTTTTTGTTTTTACATTGATTTTGTATCTTTTTGTAAACCTGCATATATAAAGTTCTACCTTCGCACCAGAGAATACTGACCGTATAAGAGAGTTGACCATTTAATGGAGGTTTAAAATGTAAAGGTATTTCTGCAGTTGTGAAAGAAGAAGAGGGTGACCTATCAGGTCAAGACACAGAATTTTTTTTAATACAAGTCACTTTCATAACAGGGGTCAATTGACTCTACATAATAAGTTCGAGTTCGATGAATATCGTCCAATCTTACAGAAGGGTAAGTTCCTAAGAGTACTCTAGATATCTTGATATATAATCAGGAAGTGAACATGCAAGGATACCTTTAAACGCACTGTAATACAAATATAACAAACTTAAGAATAGAAAATATATATGCTTTGGAAAAATTAGGGAGTTGAGAGCAGATTTCCAATATCCCTTTGCAATAACTTACTCGCATTTAGCCAAACATCTATTCAAGTATGATTTTCCATTTCTGCCACAAACTGGTTTCCGTCTTTTTTTACATCCACATGCCAGGCACGGACATTCATAGTTGCATGAAACAGTTGAATTTCTGTGATAAAGCGTAGAAAAGACATTCTCAAGAAAGAAAACATGCTTTTGTGTAAATTGTAAAAAAGACCAATTCCTTGTATGTATCTTAATTGGGTATTTTTTCTCTCTCTGCTCGAGAAAAAACTTAGTTTAATACACGTATGATGAATAACTTACAATTATAAAAAAAAATTAAGATTTCCAATTGATTTTCCTGGGATATAGGATAACGGAAAGCTTCAGCAAACATCTTTCCTAAACAAATGAATGCTTAATCAATTATTTCGTTTCAATGGTAACATCCAAGTTCTTCTGTTTTTTTTATTACTGATTTAATGGTTTTCTTTCTTTCAAGACAAACAAAACAAGGAAATTTTCATGGTATAACAAAGAATTTAGAAAAATCCACTATCTTACTATTTTATCATGAGCTGATGCTTTGTTTTAGATGGTTTATAAAGTTTTGAACTCATTAAGAAAATATATTTCATTGTTGAGGATAAATTGTATGCAAGAAAAAATAATAACTTTAAGAAAATACCGGAATTGGCAACAAATTGTTTTGAAGAAAAAAATGAAAATAACTGAAGAAATACCGGAAGTGGCAATATAAAATCGTAAGCCAAAGAAGGTTGATGAACATAACGGAGAAAAGAAAAAAGAGTAACAACAGACAACAAAACACCATGCAAAACAATAATTGTCATTTAAATATTGAATAACAGGAACCCCACTGAAACACTTAACTCATATGCTTCGAAAGGATCAATTCCTGTACCAAGTCGACTGGAATCCATTTTGATAAGTTTTAAAGAAGAAAAGGCATTTTGATATACATGCAATTTCCATAAAATTAACATGCCGATAAAAGCCCTGTTAGTAATTGAAAGCAACACTCGGTATTTAAATTTTCAAATTCATAGGTACATGCACGTGCATTTAAATTCATAATAATGATAAAAAAAAAAGATCTTTATCTGTATGCCTCTATTTTATGGTTTTTGTTTCAACTGACCATACAGAGTTCTATCAGAAAATTAAAAGATAATTCAATAAATAATCTGCAACATTTCATTTTTATTATAATTCTTTGAAATTTAATTTTTAAGTTCGTACCCGCAACCTGCTAAGCATTCATTTTCGTATGTCCTCCCATCAGCACCACACACTGGGTTGTAATCTTTTCTACAGGCACATGGAGGAAGTCCTTTACACGGACACATACCTTTACACAGTAACTTAACACCACTGTGAAAAATAAATATTAGTAAGATATACTGGAACCATAAAAACGGTTCCAACAGTACTATAAAAACACAGAGTTAGATCACAAGCCATTTTTATTAATTTTGTTTTAGAGAAGAATGTTTATCAAATAGAATTGTAGTCCCATCTTAAAATATTGTTCATTTTCTATGAAGAAACGTTATCTTTTTACTTGAAATCTGGATTAAAATTTCAATTGTATTATCAATTAAAACCACTGTGCATCAAATCGTCCAGTACAAACAAAAACACACACAAAATTGTGACAGATTTAGCTGCCTACTTTATACGGAAAATTACTCACCGGCATTTGGCCAAACATCCGTTTCGGTAAGTGGCTCCATCGGCACCACATACGGGTTTTTTTCTCTTACCACACGTGTCACATGACTTCAATGGCTTACATGGACATTCACGCTGACATCGTGGCTTAATTCCTCTATAAAATAAATGCAAGCAAAGATGCAGCGTTATCGACAACTAACAAAGAATTGTGCTAAAACTACTGTTACAGACCGGCTTGAAATAGCAGTTAGAAGTGAGTTTTTGATTCATGCTGAAGACATCCCTGTAACTTTAAGATGAACAACAGAAATGAAAGTGCTGTTCCTTTGCTTTGTGTTTCAAAAAAATATATAAATCTGCTTAGTTTTAAGTTTGTTTTAACAAATTTCATACTGATATAGGGAAAAAGTATGAAGTTTTCTGAATAAATTTTTATCTGAAACTAACAAATGTCAAATTTCTCACCCGGCTGTTACAAAATTACTAACTATAAACGAACAAAAAAAAATCAATAAAAAATTCGAAACAACAACATTATTCCTAAAGTTGCTGTATTGTCAAAAAAAAAAAATGATTTCCTTTTCTGTATTTATTTCCTTATATTTCTTATCTATGTAATGTTCAATCATTCCTATATGTGCTACAGGAAGACTTGAAATCTGTAGAATGGTCGTAAACTATCTAAATTTCCCTGTGAATATATATTTATGGTTTTACATTTTGTTTGGACATGGGTCTCTTAAATACTTGTTTTTTCTTCAAATCTGACATCTTGATCAATTTGTTGCAAAAGTAGCTTGCACAGCTTGTAAAGTTTGGCTTTAGGGGAAATGGAAATTGTCAGAATAGAAATAAAAATATAACCCGGAAATATACATGAATTGTCAGCGGATTCCATACTTACTTGCATCTTGCCTGGCAGATGTTAGAATATGTTTTGCCGTCTACTCCACACAAAGGCTTGTAGTTCTTTGTACAGGCACATGGTGTACATGGACATTCGTGCTTACAACCTATCTCTAATCCTCTAAAATATAACGGAACGTTTTTAAAGAATATTTTCTATGGAATCCAATCGTTATCAATCACAATCAAATGTTATTCATCACGAGTAATGAAAAATTGGCGGGAAATGATTTTCTCTAGATTTTTCATACATGTAACATTGGCACTTTTGTTCTTTCATAAACTATGAAAAATAACAAGGATTTTATAAGATTTTCAAATATGGCTTTTTAAACTACATGTAATAAAATTACGAAAAGAAAAGTAGGGGTTAGCGGGCATAATATTTATTGGCACTTCATGGATAAAACCAGAGGATTTCGAATATCTGACAAAAATTCAAAAACAAGAGGAGCGAACATCCTTAATTTTTATAAATAGCTACATGTAAAGCTTCTCACATAACGATACAGTATTTGCTAGATTACTCTCTCCCTTACATGAGAGATTTTGACCTGTGTTTAAGGCCTTATTGTGACATTAAGATGAAGCACAGCAATAAAGGAACTGTTCTTTTGGATCGTGTTTTGTCAAGTTAGTGTAGGGATTTTTTTTATCATGAATTAGTACATCAAATCCTGTAAATATTAACTTGCTGGTGTGTCCCTAGTAAGGTTTTTGGAGCGCTGTAATTGGATAAATCAGTATATTATATACATGTTTTGTTTATCTATGAACAACTAGATAGTATAAAAAAGGGAGATGTGGTATGATTGCCAATGAGATAAACTATCCGGCAGAGTCTAGATGACGTGGGTATAAGATCACTATACGGCTTTCAACACTGAACAACACCTTTATCGAAAATTCAGCTATCAAAGGATCTGAATTGGTAAAATATGAAACATTGCAAACGAAAAAAACACAAACGGCCTGGTTTATGTTCCCAACAGTAAACAAAAAACCAAATATGATATACAGTAACAATGTGACAACCACTGAGTTACAGGCTCCTGACTTGGAAAAGGCACATACAGAATGTTGTGTGGTTAAACATGTTTGCGATCACCCAATCCTCCCCATATTTGGGACTGAAGTCATTCTCGAATGGGAAAGATAGGTGTTGATAACCGACTGTACCGGACACTTTATATAATATCTACATGTATATATACGTACCTCCTAATTGCAGCGCATTCATGTTTGTAAGTTTTACCGTTTTGAGCACAAACTGGACCGCTTTTCTTGCTACATTTAGGACCTATAAAAACAATGTTATGATTCAACTGTGTCGTTACCAACATCACCAGATGCTGTTATACGTTGTACGTATTTTTGAAATTTTATGACACGGTACATGACGTAATTGGTCTAAGTTCGTCCAGCAAAAAACTATCTAGGGATCGAGCTACGATAGCGAGACGAAATATCGTCTTCTCCAGTTTTTCGTTATCTGATGAGGGACTGAGAGTACAAATGGACTATTATTGCTCTTATATGAGAGTCTGGACGGGTTTTACAGTTAAGAGAATAATGAGCAAAAAGTGCAAAATAAATAGCTATAATAATACCGAATACAGAAAACTAGTTTAAAAAAAGAATAGAGAATAATGGGGTGTTAAAATATAAAGAATAGGGAATAATGGGGTGTTAAAATATAAATAATAGAGAATAATGGGGTGTTAAATTATAAAGAATAGAGAACAATGTGGTGCTAAAATATAAAGAATAGAGAATAATGAGGTGCTAAAATATAAAGAATAGAGAATAATGGGGTGATAAATTATAAAAAATGGAGAATTATGTGCAAAATAAATAAAGTATAGAGAAAAATATGAAAAAAATAAAGAATAAAGAAATTAAGGACCCCTCCCCCCTAATCCAGACCATCATATATTTAAACAATGTTTAACTTTAATTTTTAATTGATTTAATGAAATCATAATTCATAACTTGGACTCATATAACAAATTAATCAACTGTTTATATACATGTTTTTATAGTATAAAACTTTCATTTTTCAATAAATTTCAGTAAAGTATGAAGACGGAAATACATATACAGCACATTTGTAAATACGTTTTTTGACATCTGTCTTTGTTTCGGGGGTTATTATGTCACGTGTAAGCCAGTGGACATATGCATCCTCTAAAAATTTTGAAAATTATTGATAAGTCCCGATTGCAAAGAAACGGTTGGGACGTTGACTTTTAACCAAAAAAAAAGTCCAGCAAAATGCAGGAACTTGATGTGAACAAAAGTGAAAATAAATTTTCGAACGACATGGCCGCAATAAATAAGCAAGAGTCGCAAAAGCTGTAAGTGAAAATGCCCCTTCTAGAATATCAAATGGTCGTCCCCTAAATAAATAAATAAACCACTTACCTGATTTTCGACGCAAACATTGCACAGTCGTAAGGCAAAGAACAGCAATGAAAATTTTTATTCTCATTTTTGCGTTTGCAGTCGTCAGCCTGTGAACAAAGTATGTATCAATAAGTTATAAATAATATAACCACAATTATGAAGTTTTTATATACGTAAATACTTCAATCTTATCTGACAGGAAACTTGTCCAAACTTTCACTATCTTCATTTAAAGCGTTTTCCACCTATAAGTTAGTTTTATAAAACAAAAGAGGATCAAATCGAATTGGTATTTAAAGTCTTGTGAAATTTTATTCAATTTTCTTACGTGAATTTGTTACGTCGTTTTTTGTATAATTATTAATCGCAAATATACTACTTTCTTTTACCTTTAATCCTCTTTTAGCATAAAAATAATTATAGAATAACTAATCGAAGAATTCAAATAGAGAAAAATATTCAACGAGTGACCGAACAACACATTAATTCACGAATGCGCGTAGCGCATGAGTTAATAATCAGTGTTGTTCAGTCACGAGTTGAATATTTTTCGATATTTGAATTCTTTGATTAGTTATTCTTTTTATTACATTGGCAAATGGCTTTTTTAATGAAATTAATGTAGAAAATGTAAGGAACTATATCTTTTTTCTACACATTCACAATTTGTTTTGATCCGACGTTATCGACGTCTTGACAACGCCTATCGTTGTATGACGTCAGAGAGTGAAATAACCACGTTTATTCCATATTGATAGAACTTTAGTAGGTTTTTCTATATGAATGGGATTTTGAATAAATAAGCATATTCACCTGCGGAAAAAGCATATTCACCGCGCAAAACGTCGCGTGCTTTTACGTGTATAATAACGATACAATGTTTGACGTTTAGTTGGTTTTTGGTAAATAACTGTTATTTTATACATATTTTTCTCGCTCGGAACATGGAATAAAACAATTCCTGTCTTTTGTTTCGGTAAATATGTGGTTTAATTGACTTTTGAAAAACCTAGTGACATTCACTTCGGCCGTTGGCCTCAGTGAATATCAGTTTTTCAAAAGTCAATAAAACCACACATTTACCTCATCAAAAGACAGTAATTGTATATTATTTCACATGTGAAATTATCGGTTTTTATTAGACTGGGAAATCAATGTAATTCAATGCTACCAATGTAATAATTTTATATAATTTGATACGTTAAAATAAGTAAGAAAATTCTGAGTACTAAAGAAATAAATGCACGCTCAGACTGCTTTAATTATTACAACTTCTATTGGTTCTTGATGCTTAAGTTGAAGTCTCCTCTTTGAAAATTCTGTACCGGCATTTTTTGGAAATGTTTTACCGTTACGGAAAATCTGTGTCAGAGATGATCATGAATATCTTCCATAACTCTTAGCGACACACCCGTTCCTCGGTACTAGTTATGACTACACATCAATGGATTTTTCTAGTTGTGAAGTTTTTATGATAGGGGGAAATGCACATGAAAGAACATGAAATGAAATTGTATACATGTACACGTATTTACGTTAAAGGGAAAGTATTTTCGAGGCTTTAATAGCACATTTCTAACATTTAATCAAGGCAAAATTTAGAGTTCGGCATAATGCACAGCCACCTATCTATAATTGTTGAAGACCGTGTATTGACTTGGTGATTTCTGTTGGTTTTTCTGTGGTGTCGTTGGGTTGCTATGTCATCAATGTACACCAAAATCTCCCTTTTTTCATTTTATAAACTAAATATTTCAAATTGATACAGACAAACGCATTGCGTTATCATATCTTACAAATATAAAAAGAAGCTTCAATATCATATTAAAATGTGATTAAATCCAGGTCTCTCACTTTATTGCATAAGTTTTGATGCCGAGCTGAGGCGAGTGAGAGACCTGATTTTCATCAGACTGCATAGTACATTACCTTGTCTAAAAGTTTCCAAAATATAAAGATAAACAATTTCCCACCTATTTATGATAGAATTGCCAAACCTCTGACATTCGTCATAATATTCCCACATATAATAAACGATGTTTATAGTACTTGTGTAATTTATGGTTCTTATAACAAATCATTGTTTATCAATATTTTAAAATATTTTTTGTGCGAATTAAAATTTGAATTAGTTTACTACTAGTTACGGGATTTGTTTTATGGCATGCTACTATCAGGTTCATGTAGTACACATACAGATGGACACGCAAATATATCGAGCAGGAATTCAGTATATGAATTGTTTCACATTTTGTCATGTCAGGGTCATTTACATGTATTATAGCTGACTTTACGGTGTGGGATTTGCTCATTGTTGAAGGTCGTACGGTGACCTATAGTTGCCTAATTCTTCGTCATTTAGGCTTTGGTGGATATTTGTTGATTGGCAATGAATCCTACTACGCCTCCTTATTTTATTAATGTTTAAATTGGCAAAACTGTGAATCAACCTAGGAAAGGGTCCATAGATTTTTTTTTTCAGAAAGTTACATTATTCAGAAAAACGGATGTTTCTTCGTGCATTTATCATGCTGAATAACTGAGACTTTCAGTGGAGTTCCATAGTTCAAAATTTTAATCTGGTCCAATCAGCATCGAACGTCCCATCAAAAATAAAGTCGAAAAAGAGAAGAAGAAAAAAACAAGCAAAAAACAAAAAACCTTATAAATCTAAGGCTTATTTAAGGCTCACTCAGAAGAGTTGTATCTGAGAGTGAAAGTGCGGAAATATGTCATATTGTTATGTATATTTATAAATGTGCAACTATGAGGGTGAGAATGGAGTATCCCATATAACGATAAAAGAGTAACAATGAACAATTACCTGCGTTAAACGAAACGGTAGGTCATGATCAATTCTATGATATGACGAATGGCAATTAAATGTTAAGGCTCATTTGAAGGTAAGGGCAGTGAAAAGGGGGGGTACTGGACGCAAGATGATGAAGGCCTTTTCTTCCCTCAACTATGGACGAGAGAGTCCATCCGGTATTTGGGAAGGAAAAAAAGTACTTAACAATGACAAATTTATTATCAAGTATTAATGATTCATTGAAAAGGTCGTGGGAAAAAACGTTTTGAAGTGTTCTTTACATAGAATTTTATGACTGTTGTATAAATATACCTGCAGATATTAAGTACGCATATTCTGGTTTGATCATAAAGATATTTCTAAACATACTATACACATCAGAACTTACTATGCTTACGTAATCTAAGTAAACGGTAAAAGTGATCATGGTTGTTTGTTTGTTCACGTTTTTTAATGATATTAGTAATTTCTCGAGATTTTTGTGACAAGGGATGAGGGTGAAAACGCATCACACGGTAGCACATGCTCCAATAAAGCTGAATACCAAATTTCAGGAAGATTCGCGGTTCCTTTGAAAAATGAGACGTAACTTTCATAGGATGGACAGACGAAAAGACGAAATCCAGTATACCTTCCTCCTACTAAGCGGGGGTATATTTAGCAATTGTAAATTATACAAGATATATGAATACTTGTATCTGAGTTCACTCTCGGTTTTCGGTGGGGTTCGTGTTACACGATCTTTAATTTTCTGTTTGTCTTTTTTACTGCTGTATGTCTGTTGGTATGTTGGTCTTTTCTATTAGAAATTATGTTTTTTTATTGCACCTTTGGTATTGTATCCTTCCTTCTTAACATCGTGTAAAATTTCACGTGATTAGGTAAAACATACTTGACTTATCGCGAGAAGTGCAAAAAATACAGGAATGCAACAAGGCTTACCAAAATTGAAATGTAGCTGGCCTTCATAAAAGCTAGAATGTTGTTGAAAAAACAAATTGATCAGAATTCGTTATAGCATATAACACGGTGGTGTCACTGGTGAACCTTGAACTGTTGGTCCCTTCCGGAGCAATCAAGTTCACCCAAGAGTTTTAGTGTGGTTCATGCTGTTCAATCTTTTAGTTTTCTGTGTAGCGTTTTGTGGACTGTTGCTCTTCTTTTCGTCGTTCATCTTGTGTTTTCCAAGGTTTTGTCTCTTTTATGGAATTCTATGCGACTGTCATACAAGCGAGAGGTTTAGCTAGCTATAAAACCAGATTTAATCCACCATTTTCTACATAAGGGAATGACTGTACCAAGACAGGAATATAATAGTTATTTTCCATTCGTTTGATGTGTTTGAGCTTTTGATTTTGCCATTTGATAAAAGACTTTCCGTTTTGAATTTTCCTTGGAGTTTGGTATTTTTGTTATTTTACTTTTTACTGGACCTCTGGTTTTGTCTCTTTTACTGGACTTCTGGTTTTGTGTTGCCTTTTTGGAATCTTCGCCCTGTTTTTTGAGTAATTGCGATGTGTGCGGGTTACACTTAAATGTAATTTCCTGACCGACAGAAAATGAAAATTATTGTTTTCTTCTTGATGTATATAGACCACTATCCCAGGTTTGGGGAGGGTTGGCACCAACAAACTAGTTTAACCCCGCCATATTCTGCATGTGCCTGTCCCAAGTCAGGAGACTGTAATTCAGTGGTTGTCGTTTGTTGCTGTATATCATTTTTTTTTCAATATTTTGTACGTAAATCGGGTCGTTAGTTTTCTCGTTTGAATTGTTTTACATTTGTCATTTCGGGGCATTTTATAGCTGATTATGCGGTATGGGTATTGCTCATTGTTGAAGGCCGTACGGTGACCTATAGTTGATGATGTTCATGTCATTTGGTCTCATGTGGAGAGTTTTCTCATTGACAATCATATCACATCTTCTTATTTTCATAGTTAGAAATTTAAATAATTATAAAAAAAATACTTATTCATTTAGACCAAATAACAGCCAACGAAAATATTTTAAAGGGTAAAAACACTACCTGACCACCGTCAACTTTGCCGTTACCAATGACCTGATCGTTAGAAATTATATTTGGAAAAATTATTTTCAGAACGGATCAACTATTATAAATTCGGAACATACCAAATTTCAATCGTTAACTTTGTTTAAAAGATTTCAGAAAAATTAAGGTAAAAAAAAATGGACCAGAAAAGTGTCAACTTAACAAACCTTAATACGCATAAAAATATATTAATACTTACCTTTTTATTATTATTGACAATAAAGATATCCGAACACAACATTAAAAGCAGACAGTATATGTAAATAGCTGAAAGGATTGAGAAATTTGAATGCAATATACTGAATGTGAGTATTATTTATTCCTTCTTTCATTCATAGTTATGTGTGTTAATTTGATTAGGGACTAAG